ACCACCAGGAGTAATTCCTGAGTGCAAAGCCAGGAGTAACCCCTGAGCATCGGCGGGTGTGACCCAAAAAGCAAAAAAGGAAAGAAAGAAAATGATCCAGGGGGATGAGGCCATAGGCAGGGTGGAGCGGCTGCTTTGCATGTTTGAAATCCTGAGTGTTCCCGGCCACACCCTGTCCCCCAATGGAACGTGACAGACAGGCTTGGGGCCACACCTGGTGGCCTTGAGGGATGACTCCCTACAGGGTGCTGGGGGGGAATCTCCTGCCAGTGACTCAGCCTGGGGTTCCCACATGCAAAGCAGGTGCCTGGCCTGTTGAATTGTCTCTGGCCCAGGAAAAATACCCTTTGGCTGAGCACTTCCCTTATTCTCTGTTATTTCTTGTGTCTTTATTATTTGTCTCCCTTTGACTTCAGTGTCACTGCTGTGATCAGAGCTTCACGCAGCTGAGCTGCTCACACATTCTCAGCCAAGGCGCTCGCCCATGTCACACAGTCACACGTCAGGCCACTAACAGTCTGGATTCCTTTTGTGGTAGTGATTGCCGGGTATCACACTCTTTTTTTTTTTTTTTGCTTTTTGGGTCACACCTGCCAATGCACAGGGGTTACTCCTGGCTCTGCACTCAGGAATCACCTGTGGCGGTGCTCAGGGGATCATATGGGATGCTGGGAATCGAACCCGTGTTGGCCATGTGCAAGGCAAACGCCCTACCCGTTGTGCTATTGCTTCAGCCCCCACACTCTTTTTTTTTTAATTTTTTTTTTTATGAATTCACCTTGAGATATAGTAACAAAAATCTCATGTTTGAACTTTGATCATATGGTCATCCAACACCCATCCCTTCACCAGTGCACATTTTCCACCTCAAAATCCCCTAGACTCTCCCCCACCCCATTCCACACCTCCCCTTGCCTGTGCGGCAGACAGTTTGCAAAATACTCTTTCTCTACTTTAGTTACCTTTGATATTTCAAGACCAGTCGCACCACCCCCCATACCTGCCGAAAATGCACGGCTAGACAGTGTGGGTTTATTTATTTATTTATTTATTTATTTATTTTTGCTTTTTTGGGTCATACCCGGCGATGCACAGGGGTTACTTCTGGCTCTGCACTCAGGAGTTACTCCTGGCGGTGCTCAGGGGACCATATGGGATGCTGGGAATCGAACCCGGGTCGGCCGCGTGCAAGGCAAACGCCCTACCCGCTGTGCTCTCTCTCCAGCCCCTAGACAGTGTGTTTTGCATTGCTTGTTATGGATATAATATAATGTCGTGCGGCTTTGTAGAACTCTTGCAGAATTCGAAGGAATTCTCGCTCAAGGAATTTTAAGATTTTTAATAATTAAGGTCTAAAGAAATCGCTGCAGCAAGTTGCTGGGTGTGGACCACACTGTGCGTGCGTGTGTGTGTGTGTGTGTGTGTGTGTGTGTGTGTGTGTGTGTAAGGGTCATACCCAACTGTGCTCAGGACTTACTCCTGGCTCTGTGCTCAGAGATCGCTCCGCTGGCGGTGTGAAAGGCAAACACTTTACTCGCTGTCCTATCACTCCGGCCCTGGGTCACACTTTTAGTTGACATATGAGGAAGTGGCGGTTGTAGTGCTAACCAAGGGGTGGCTGTGGTTGTGTGTGGGGGGGGGTAGGTTTGCGTCACTTTTTGTGGCGTTTGCACACACCTGGCTCCTGAAACTCACCTGCGACAGCCACGACCAGAGCGGAGCTGCCTGACACACATCAGGTACCGATGGGACACAGGGATGGGGGATATTTTGTTTGTTTAGGTTTTCAGACCATACCAAGCAAGGCTCAGGGGTTACTCCTGCCTCTGTGCTCAGGGGGTCACTCCTGGCAAGGCTTGGGGGATCCTATGTGGTGCCAGGGATTGAACCTGGGTTGGCCTCACTCACTCAAGGGGAGTGCCTTAACCCCCATCTCGCTATCTCGCTAGCTTTTATTTAGTTTTGGTTTGGGGCCGCCCAGGCAGTGCTCGGGGGACCATGGGGTGGTAAGGGATCAAACTTGGGGCTCCAGCTTGCAAGCCGGGAGCTCTACTCTTCATTCTTTTTTTTCTTTGGTGTGTGTTTTGGGGACCACACCTGGAGGTGCTTAGTGGATACTCCTGTCTCTGCACTCAGGGATCACTCCTGGCCAACTCAGAGGACCATAGGAGGTGTTGGGGATAGAACCCAGGTCAGCCGCGTGCAAGGCAAACACTTTCCCAGCTATACTATCGCTCCAGTTCCTACTTTAAAAAAAAAAAATTAGGGCTGGAGCGATAACACAGCAGGGCGTTTGCCTTGCACGTGGCTGACCTGGGTTCGATTCCCAGCATCCCATATGGTCCCCCTGAGCACTGCCATGAGTGATTCCTGAGTGCAGAGCCAGGAGTAACCCCTATGCATTGCGCCAAGTGTGACTCAAAAAGCAAAAAAAAAATTTTTAATTGATTTATTTTTGTTTTTTTTTTTGGGGGGGGGTCACACGCAGCAATGCTCAGGGCTTCCTCCTGGCTGTGCTCTTAGGAATTGCTCCTGCCCATACTTGGGGGACCATATGGGGTCCTGGGGAATGCACGGTCAGCTGCGTGCAAGCAGTTACCCTACCCACTGTGCTATCGCTCTGGCCCCAACTCATCTCATTTTAATCTCATGAGCATCCTTGCCAGGCAGGTTTTTAGCCCCTGCACTGTTTCTCTGGGTCCTCTTATTGTCTTTTATTTGTATTTGTTTGTTTTTTGCTTTTTGGGTCACACCTGGCAATGCACAGGGTTTACTCCTGGCTCTGCACTCAGGAATTACTCCCGACAGTGCTCGGGGGACCATATGGGACGCTGGGAATCGAACCCGGGTCGGCTGCGTGCAAGGCAAACATCCTCCCCGCTGTGCTGTCTCTCCAACCCCTCTCTTTTATTTTTTTAACTGAGGTTCAGGGTATACACTAGAAGGAGCTTCAGTTGTATAGGTTGACAAATATCACACGTGCCCACCGGTATGACCCGCATCAAGTTGTAGCTTTACCAAAACCCAGAAGTTGCCTTCCAGAAGTTGTCACCTCTTGGCCAATTCAGATTTTGGGGGGGCATGAATGTGGAGCTCCAGTACTGTACTATAGCTCCAGTCCCTACTTTTTTTTTTTAAGAAATTTTAATTTATTTATTTTTGTTTTGACGAGTCACATGTGGCTATGCTCAGGGGTTTCTCCTGGCTCTGCACTTAGGAATTATTCCTGCCCATACTTGGGGGACCATATGGGGTGCTGGGGAATGAACCTGGGTTGGCTGTGTGCAAGCAAACACTCTCCCTTCTGTACTATGCTCCGGCCCCTGGCCCCTACTTTTGTATAAATGCAATCCATGATGTTGGATTGGACAAACTGGCAGGCTACCGAATGTAACCTGCCCACACGGCAGAGTCTGGCAAACTCCCCTTGGTGTACCCAATATGCCAAATACCAGTAACAATGATGGGTCTCATTCTCCTAACCCTGAAAGTGCCTTGAAATATGGCACTTTTTAAAAAAAATCTCAGGGCTAGGACGAAGGAGACGTTACTGGGGCCTGCTTGAGGCAATCGACGAACAACTGGATGATGGTGATCGTGATTGTGATGATGTTGGCACCAGATTCAGAAAGGGATGAGAAAGAATTCAGTATCCCCCACAGACCTGCGCTCCAGCTCTCGGGATGGCACCCTGGGGGTCGTGGGAACCCCTTCTCTGGCTTCCTCCCCCCGCCTTTGTCTGTGCAGCACTGGGAATGACCCCTGGGAGCACTGTCAGCTTCCTAGGAGACATCTGGGAGCATTGTCAGATTCGTGGGAGACCCCTGGGAGCACTGTCAGCTTCCTGGGAGACATCTGGGAGCACTGTCAGCTTCCTGGGAGGCATCTGGGAGCCTTGTCAGCTTCGTGGGAGACCCCTGGGAGCACTGTCAGCTTCCTGGGAGACCCCTGGGAGCACTGTCAGTTTCCTGGAAGACCCCTGGGAGCACTGTCAGCTTCCTGGGAGACCCCTGGGAGCACTGTATGCTTCCTGGGAGACCCCGGGAGTATTGTATGCTTCCTGGGAGACCCTGCGAGCACTGTCAGCTTCCTGGGAGACACCTGGGAGCACTGTTTGCTTCCTGTGTGTCATGGGTTTTTGAGGAGCACCAGCCCTGAGAACATCATCTCTGGTTGGGACTTTGACCCGCCCGAAACCCCCCTCTAGACACATCACCCCAGGCCAGTCCTAAGCGCTGGCCCAGATGCCTGTGATCCTACAGGCCAGATGACCCCTCCTGAGACCTCCCACACCCCTCTCTGCCCTGGGCTCCCTCCACAAGGTCAGGGCGGACAGGACAGACACAGACGGGGGACAGGGGACAGGAAGTCGCGACTGGCTGCTTGAGATCCTCAGAGTGGCGGCCTCTGGCCTCTGTGGGCACCTCGGGGGTCTCAGCTCTTGGTGGTATTGGGGGAGGCTCCCCCTGTATACTGCAGTCTGAACGGAGGAGGCTTTTCTCAGCCTCCTGGTTGGCAGCCTCAGGGCTGGCATTTAGTGGTTCAAATCACTGGCTTTGGAACCCGACCGACCGACCGACCGACTGTCTGGGTGCGTCTCCCGGCTCTGCCACTTGGCTGGGCCCCCACCCTACCCTGCCCAGCCTCCGGGTCCTTCTCTGGGAAGGAGGGTGGGGATCCCGGGGCTGCAGGGGCGAAGACATCAGATAAGGCTGGCTAAGAGTATCCCCACACAGCGCCTGGCCCAACTCTGACTCCAGTCAATGATAGATGTCGCTTCCTTATTAGTAGCTTGTCCCCAGGATGGCTGGGGGGGCGGGGGCAGCCGGCCTGTGACTGGAGGCTCACATGCCACCTTGGCCGGAGGGGTGCAGGGTGCATACACGCGGCCTCACGGTCACCTCCCAGAGGACGCGGCTGGCCCACCCATGGCAGGGGACCCGCGGGCGCCCCCCCCTTGCCCTCTAGGCTGCCACCTTGCCCGACCTTCTCTTCTCCAGGCTCTGAAAAGAGAAGTTCCCCCCAGGGGTCGGCCGCGCCCCTTCCTGTCCCCGCCCCGCGGGCTGCCCCAGGCTGGTGTTAGTGGCAGCCCCAGAACCCGGACCGTGGGGTGCTGGTGAGGCCTGGCCCGGGCGGCCCGCCGTGTGACCCTGAGCACCCCCAAGCCTCCGCCTGCCCACGCTTGCCATCGCCATCTCTCTGCCTGCACCCCCCTTCCTCTCCCGGAGTCTCCAGGATGGTGAGGTAAGGGCCCGGGGGCACAGGGGGTGACGGTGGGAAAGGGGGCAGGGGGTAGGGGACCCCCCCACTTCAGGCCCTCTGGGCTCTCCCAGGTGGTTTCACCGCGACCTCAGTGGGCTGGATGCAGAGACCCTGCTCAAAGGCCGGGGCGTCCACGGGAGCTTCCTGGCGCGGCCCAGTCGCAAGAACCAGGGCGACTTTTCCCTCTCCGTCAGGTAGGTGGCCTTGCTTGCACGGCCCCTCGGACCCTTTTTTATTTGTGGGGGTCTGGAGTGTGTGTGTGGGGGGGGAAGCTCCTTCTGCAAGTGTCTCACTGCAGCGTGTCCCCCCCAAACCCTGAAGCCCTCCCCAGTGTCCCGGGTCTGGGGGCGCCCCCCACCCCGGCCCACTGGCCTCAGCACGCATGTTCTGCAGGGTGGGGGACCAGGTGACGCACATTCGGATCCAGAACTCGGGGGATTTCTACGACCTGTACGGCGGGGAGAAGTTCGCCACGCTCACTGAGCTAGTGGAGTACTACACACAGCAACACGGCGTCCTCCAGGACCGCGACGGCACCATCATCCACCTCAAGTACCCCCTCAACTGCTCGGACCCCACCAGCGAGAGGTGGGGGTGCCCGTCCCCGCCCGCTTCCTCCCCACGGCTCCCAGAAAGCCTGTGGGGGTGGGGGGTGGGCTTCTCCTGCCCTTCCCCAGCGCCCCAGATCAGCTGCACACAGACAGACAGACAGATAGATAGACAGACAGGCAGGCAGGCAGGCAGGGCGGCTCACCCTTTGACCCCCATGTTGTTAGAAAGTTCTCCTTCTGGGGCCTGACTCTGCCTGTCGTAGAGATATTCACCCAGGACGGGGGGTACAGGGATTTGAGGGGGACCCCCAGAGCCATGCATGTAGGAGACCCCTTTCAAGGCTTTTCTAGGCAATCCTGTGGGTCGGAGCGGGACTGGGGGGTCCCTATGTTTGGCTGTCTGGGTCAGGACCCGGGGCTTGGCCTCTGGACTCCCAAGTTGGGGGTGCTCAGAGCCAGTTACTCCAGGCAGTGGGAGGATCCCAGGGACCCCCAATCCCGACTATGGTGTTGCTGGTGCCCACGCCAGCCCCCCCCCCCCCACTCAGACGGGGCCTGTGAAGCCGAATCCTGCAGTGTTAAGTTTGGGTTACTCCCCCCAACCCCCCACCCCCCCGGCCTGGTCCTGCGTTTGCATCTTGCTCCCCTCAAGGGTTTGGACGCCGCGATATACAGTGTCCAGAGCTGGATGTGGCCTCCGTGGCCTGGGAGCTGGCCACGAGGCTTGGCTGAGGGCTGTCCTCACTCGGGTCGGCAGCTGGCCTGCAGTGCCTCAGTGCCTTGGGCCCTAGTTGCAGTCAGGATCTGCTTTGGGGGCGGGGCGGGGGTGGGGGGGTCAGGGGACGGAGGGGGTTGAGGGGACCGGGTGAGGAGCTGTGGGTTGTGGATACAGCTGGAAGAAGGAGGAAGTGAACAGACCACCCAACCCCCTCTAGGGAAGACTGGGGTGGGGGGGGAGGCCTGGGTTGGGAGAAGCCAGACCGGGGAGGCAGAGCTGGGGTGCTGGGGGGGGCCCAGCAGAGGCCCTCTGGGTCCCTGTGCCTGCCACCACCAGCCCTGAGGGTGGGGGACAGGCTTTCTCCAAACCTGCCCTCCCTTGCAGCGGCCTCACCCCCTCCCCATTTGCATTTCTCTCTTCAATGGTCAGGGCGCAGTCTGTGGTCACCCTGACATTTGCATGGAAACTTCCTCTTCCTGGGGCCCAGGAGAAGGGGGCCTGGTCCCTGTCCATGGCCAGGGGGGCTCTGGCCGAGCCCCGAGTGGTGGGATGGTGAGGGCACAGGGGTGGGATGGGGCGGGGGGGGGGGGGTGGTTGGGGTGCCTCTGAGGTCTCGGGCCTGAGATCCCCGCGGGGCAGGCGGGAGCTGGGGGTGGCTCAGACGGCCCCGCTCCCCCCATCCCTGCGGTTGGAAAATGCCCCCCCGCCCCCCCTCCCGTCCCTGGGCTGAGGAAACCTCACAACCTCACTTCTCACTCTCTCCCCAGAAGGACTTTTGTGTTTTTTCCATCACGTGGTTTCCTGTGGGGCCCCGGCATTGTGGGGCGACAGTTTCCTCCTGGGAAAGGGGGGACTTCGGGGAAAGGGCCGAGTTCTGCTTTCTGCTCCTTTGAGCCCCTAGAAGACCCTTTGAGCCCCGGCCTCCCCTTTGATGGTGTCATCCTGGGACCCCCGCGGCCCCCCGGTTGCCTCCCCCTGGGGGACCCCCTTCCCCCACGCTCCCTGGTGGTCTCTCCACCCCCTGCCTGGCTGGCCCTCGCCTCTGTCTCTTTGCTCCCCGGACCACCCCTGGTTTACGGGGTCCTCGAATCCTCAAGGTGCTCTCTTTTGGGTAGGTTTGGGGTCCGTCCTGGCAGTGCTTGGGAGGACCAGGTGGAGCTGGGATTGAAGCCGGGTCCCCTGCACGCCCAGCACGTGCTTAGTGGCGGTGGCTCCCCCTACCCGGGCCCTGGAGACGGTCTCAGACCCGCCAAAGGCCTGGGGTCTTGCTCTGTCCAGAACCCCAAAACTCACCCTCCGTTTCCCCATCTGTGAAAAGGGCTTGGGCGGACTCCGCAGTTTGGGGCGTCGTTTTGGGCCCACAGTCAATGGTGCTCAGAGCTTCCGCCTGGCTCTGCGTTCAGGGATCACTCCTGGCGGGGGCCCGGGTTCGAATCTGAATTGCCCGCGTGCAAGGCAAAAATGCCTTACCCGGCTCTCTCCTGCCCTGAGTTAGCATTTTTGGATCAGAAGGCCCGAGACGCGCTCACACACACACACACACACACACACACACACACACACACTCACACTCACACTCACACACACAGGGCCGGGCTCAGGGCTGACTCATTTTCCCAGTTCTTCTCTGGGGTCTCTGCTCAGCCCAGTCCAGAGACTGCGGCCCCACTTTTCTTTTTTTGTTGTTGTTTTTTGTGTCACGCCCGGCAATGCTTAGTGGTTCCTCTTACCTCTGCGCTCAGGAATTACTCCTGGCGGTGCTCAGGGGACCCTATGGGATGCTGGGAATCGAACCTGGGTCAGCCGCGTGCAAGGCAAACGCCCTCCCCGCTGTGCTATTGCTCCAGCCCCACGTGGCCCCACCATTTCACACCCCCATCATCTCTGCCTCCTCTAGGTGGTACCATGGCCACATGTCCGGGGGGCAGGCGGAGACGCTGCTTCAGAGCAAGGGGGAACCCTGGACGTTTCTGGTGCGTGAGAGTCTCAGCCAGCCCGGGGACTTCGTCCTCTCGGTGCTCAGCGACCAGCCCAAGGCCGGCCCGGGCTCGGCGCTCCGGGTCACACACATCAAGGTCATGTGTGAGGTGAGGAGGCCGCAGAGGCTGGGGGCAGCCTGGGAGAGGTCGTGGGGGGATGGGGGGGCGGGGTGTCCCTGCCATAGTCTGGTGGGAAGGTGATGACGACTCTGACTCCCCTCAGCAGGGGGGTCGCTACACGGTGGGGGGCGCCGAGACCTTCGACAGCCTCACAGACCTGGTGGAGCACTTCAAGAAGGTGGGCATCGAGGAGGCGTCGGGGACCATGGTCTACCTGCGCCAGGTGAGGGGCGCTGGGAGGCTCCCGCCCTCGCAGCATCGGCTTTCTCTCCATGGGGGGGGGGAAGCTCATCTGTCCCCCCTCCCTCCATCCTCCCCCATCAGCCCTACTACGCCACGCGGGTGAACGCGGCGGACATTGAGAACCGGGTCTTGGAGCTGAACAAGAAGGCGGAGTGCGAGGACACGGCCAAGGCTGGCTTCTGGGAGGAGTTTGAGGTGAGGCTCCGGCAGGGGGGGTCCCCAGTCCCTCATCGGACCCTGCTGTTATTCACTCGGGCTGACGCTCCCTCCCCCTCCCACCCCCGCTGCCCCCAGAGTCTGCAGAAACAGGAGGCCAAGAACTTGTACCAGCGCACCGAAGGGCAGCGGCCCGAGAACAAGAGCAAGAACCGCTACAAAAACATCCTTCCCTGTGAGTGTGGCCCACCCCCCTTCCGTCCCCCACCCCAGGATGCCCGGGCCAAACCGGGTTCGATCCCCAGCATCCCATAGGGTCCCCCGAGCACTGCCGGGAGTGATTCCTGAGTGCAGAGCCTGGAGTAACTCCTGTGCACCGCTGGGTGTGACCCAAAAAGAAAAAAAACAAACTTTGCTTTACCTAAAAAACAACCACCACTACCACCACCACCACAACAACAAAAGGCACAGGCCTTAACCTGCTATTTCTTTTTTTTTTTTTAATTTTGCTTTTTGGGTCACACCTGGCAATGCACAGGGGTTACTCCCGGCTCTGCACTCAGGAGTTACTCCTGGCGGTGCTCAGGGGACAATATGGGATGCTGGGAATCGAACCCAGGTCGGCCGCGTGCAAGGCAAACGCCCTATCCACTGTGCTATCTCTCCAGCCCCAACCTGCTATTTCTAAGGGTCAACACCTCCATCTTTCCTATGCCTTCTCCTCTGCTCCTCAAAGATTCCTCTGTTGGGGTTGGGAGCGCGCAGAGAAATATAGTGTACAGGGCTGAAGGCGCTTGCTTGCACACACAGCCCTGTTCAAATCCCCACTATGGCGTAGTGTCTCCCGAGCACTGCCAGGTGTGAGCCCTGATTCCCGCCAGCTGTAGCCACAAAACAAAAGTCAGGGCTGGAGTGATAGTACAGCAGGTAGGGCGCTTGCCTTACATGTGACCCACCTGGGTTCAGTCCCTGACACTCCCCTCAAAAGGCCGCCCCCCAGCCCCACCAGAAGTTTTCCTGAGCATCGCTGGGTGTGGCCCCCAAACCAAATTAAATTCATCAATGGCCTGCTGGGGGCTGAGAAGAGGCCTCCCAGGCCAGGAGTGTGTGGTTTGCAATGGAGGAGCACCAGGCTCCATCGCTGGCGGTAAGGTCTGGCCCCCAAACCAAATCACCCATTGGATCTTCCTGGCTTTTGTCGGAACCCTTCTGCGCCCTACACCCCACTCTGAGGCCCAACCCACCAGCCGGGTGCTGGGTGCCCCAGGCTGCCAGCACAGAGCTCTGACCTCTGCTTCCTCTCTGCCCCTGCCAGTCGACCACAGCCGCGTCGTCCTCCAGGGACGGGACAGCAACATCGTGGGTTCTGACTACATCAATGCCAATTACGTCAAGGTCTGTCGGGTGGGCGGGCAGGCGGGTGGGGGTGGGGGTGCCCACCTCCTGTGGGGTTCCCTACCTCCCCGGGCGTGGGGGGCTCTGGATCCAGAGCTGGAACAGGTGTGGGGGCCTGGGGAGGGACTCAGGGTCCTCTGTCTCTCCCCCTGCATGCAGAATCAGCTGCTAGGCCCCGATGACAACGCTAAGACCTACATCGCCAGCCAGGGCTGCCTGGACGCCACGGTCAATGACTTCTGGCAGATGGTGTGGCAGGAGAACACGCGTGTCATCGTCATGACCACCAGAGAGGTGGAGAAAGGCCGGGTAGGACCTGGGGCCCCACCCATTCCCTGTCGTCCTGGTAGCCGGATACAGAGGCACAAGGCCGCCTCATAGGGCACGCTCTGACCTTTGTGGGAAACGGGGGCCCAGAGGCGTCTCCGATCCCGGCTTCCAACTGGGGAAGGCACCTTGTCCGCAGACCCAGATTGTGTGTGTGTGCTTGTATGTGTGTGTATATGTGTGTGTGCACGCATGTGAGTGTACATGTGTGGATGTAGGTGCAATGTTGCGTGCGTGTGCGCGTGTGTGTGTGTTCTGGTTTTGGTTTTTGGTTCATACCCTGTGGTGCTCAGGGCTGGCTCCTGGCTCTGCTCTCCGGGATCACTCCTGGCGGGTTCCAGGGATCCTGGGAGGTGCTGGGGACCCGACTTGGGTTGACCACGTGCCAGGCTGACACTTGGTTTGTTGGACTCTCTCTGGCCCTGTCTATGTTTGGTGTTTGGGGGTTACTCCTGGCTCTGTGCTTGGGGGTAGTTCTCGACAGTGGAGGACTGAATTATGTTCTTAGAAAAAGAACCAGGGCCTCCTACCTGCAAGCCTGTACCTGGAATTTAACCTGGGGGGGGGGGGGTCCTGCTTCCAAAACAGGGGCTCAGCCCTTTGATTTAGTTAGGTTTTTATTTAGCTTACTTAGTTGGGTTTTTATTTATTTTTTTGCTTTTTGTATCACACCCGGTGATGCACAGGGTTTACTCCTGACTCATGCACTCAGGAATGACTCCTGGCAGTGCTCGGGGAACCCTATGGGATGCTGGGAATCGAACCCGGGTCAGCCACGTGCAAGGCAAATGCCCTCCCTGCTGTGCTATCGCTCCAGCCCTGCTTATTTATTTATTTGACTTTGTTCATTTATTTTTTACAATTCCATTTGCCATTTCTTTAATATTGTTAGAGCAAATGATATAAAATAAATTTTTTTTTATTTTTAAAAATATTTTTATTAGTGAGATATCATGAGGTACAGTTGTAGACCCACAAATTCTTGTGCCTGGGTTTCAATTATACAATGATCAAGTACCCATTCCTCCACCAGTGCCCATTTCCCACCACCACGGGTCCCAGTATTCCTCCCACCACTCATCCCCCCCCCACACCCTGCCTCTGTGGCAGGGCATTCCCTTTTGTTCTCTCTCTCCTTTTGGGTGTTGTGGTTTGCAAAAGAGGCATTGAGGGGCGATCCTGTTTGGTCTATAGTTTCAGCCTGCATCTCCCATCCCGGGAGGATCCTCCCAACACCCTTTATTTGGTGCTCCCTTCTCTATCTGAGCTCCCTTTTCCCCTAGCATGTGTCAGCCCTGCTTATTTAGTTTGTTTTCCTTTCTTTGGTTTGTTTTTGTTTCCGGGCCACCTTCTGGGCGATGCCCAGGGCTTGCTGTTGGCTCTGTGCTCAGGGCTCATCCCGCTCATCCTGGCACCATCCTGTTTGGATGCTCAAGCATGGACACCCTATGTGGTGCCGGGATTCAACCTGGGTTGGTCCCAGGCAAGTCAGGCATCTCCCGCTGTGCTGTCGCGGGCCCTGTCCCCTCACTCCCTGCCTTCCCACCTCTCCTCAGTGGTCTCTCTGGAACAGCCCCCTCCTCCTCACCCCCCTGCCCGGGCCTCCCCCTCCAGAGCCCCCGTTGCCTGTGACTGACTCTGTAGCGCCTGTTTCCTCTCTGTGCCTCAGCAGCGCCTCACCCCTCCAGCCCCGCTTTCCTCCCCTCGCTCCCCATCTCCCAGACCTCCTCTGCTAGGGGCTGACTTCCTCTCCCCACTGTCACTGTGCCCCCTCTTCTCTGTTGCAGACCCAGCTCCAAGCTCCCTCCTCTGAGAAGCCACCTCTGAATTCCTCCCTAACTCTCAGGGGATCCAGCCCTCTCCCTCCACCCATTTTTTTTTTCTTTTTTGGAGCAACGCTTTCTGGCGATGCATAGGAATTACTCCTGGCCCTGGCGGTGCTCAAGGGACCACATGGGATGCTGGGAATCGAACCCGGGTCAGCCATGTGCAAGGCAAACACCCTCCCCGCTGTGCTATCGCTCCAGCCCCACCTCCACCCTATTCCTCTTTTTTTTTTTTTTTTTTTTGCTTTTTTTTGGGTCACACCCGGCGATGCTCAGGGGTTACTCCTGGCTCATGCACTCAGGAATTGCTCCTGGCGGTGCTCGGGGGACCATATGGGATGCTGGGAATCGAACCTGGGTGGGCCATGTTGGCTGTGTGCAAGGCAAATGCCCTACCCGCTGTGCTATTGCTCCAGCCCCTCCACCCTATTCCTGCGCAGCTTTCCCTGCTCGCCGGACTCTGGGGCTGCTGGGGCCATAGGCTCGTGTCTGGGGGTCCATGGCCTCAGCCCAGTGTGCACCCCGATACCGATCACGTGAACTGGAGCAGAGCAGGTCTGACCCATGGTGGGTGACTGAGCAAAGACCAGATCGAGGCCAGACTTGGAAACTTCATCTGCATTTTTATTTATTTATGTATGTATTTATTTATTTATTTATTTTTGCCTTTTGGGTCACACCTGGTGATGCACAGGGATTCCTCCTGGCTCTGCACTCAGGAATTACTCCTGGCAGTGCTCGAGGGACCCTATGGGATGCTGGGAATCGAACGCAAACACCCTCCTCACTGTGCTATCATTCCAGTCCCCATCATCTGCGCATTTTTGGTTGTTTGGAGGGTCTTCCCAGCTCAGTGCTTGGGGGATTGTGAGATGTCACGGGTCGAACCTGCGCCTGTTAGGGTTGCAAGATGATCGCAGGGTTTAGATGCTCGCCTGGCAAGCAGCTGACCGTGGTCCAGTCCCTGGCACCGCCTCCATTCCCCGGGCACAGAGCTGGGAGAAGCCGAGCAGCTCCCCCGCAAAAAGAATCTTCTGCAGAGGGCCTGGAGCAATAACACAGCGGGTAGGGCATTTGCCTTGCACGTGGGTTCGATTCCCAGCATCCCATATGGTCCCCTGAGCACCGCCAGGAGTGATTCCTGAGTGCAGAGCCAGGAGTAACCCTTGAGCATCGCCGGGTGTGACCCCCCCAAAAAAAACAAAACAAAACAAAACAAAAACCAAGAATCTTCTGCAGAACACATGCATCACCATCTGGAACCGGGCCATCACTGGGGCCTCGGCCTAGCCCCCCGAGCTCATTCTCCACCTCCTCCTTCCTTTCTAGAACAAATGTGTCCCGTACTGGCCCCAGGTGGGCACTCAGCGCGTCTATGGCCCCTATGCTGTGACCAACTGTGAGGAGCAGGAGAAAGCCGAGTACAAACTCCGCCTCTTACAGGTGTCGCCCAAAGAACACGTGAGTGTCCCCTCCTGTCCCCTCTCGGGTCTCTGTGGGCGTGGGCAGGAGCCAGGCGGATGCATGGGGCCAGGGGACCCTGACACTGTGTCCTCGGCCCAGGGGGAGCTGATTCGGGACATCTGGCACTACCAGTACCTGAGCTGGCCGGACCATGGCGTCCCCAGTGAGCCTGGGGGCGTCCTCAGCTTCCTGGACCAGATCAACCAGCAGCAGGAGAGCCAGCCTCACGCGGGGCCCATCATTGTCCACTGCAGGTGAGGAGGAGAGGGACGTCGGGGAGGAATGCAGGGGGCCCGGACCCGGGCACAGAGGCTGGAGCCCTAGTGCAGCCGGGGGGAGGGCATTTGCTTAGCATGCAGCTGACCTGGGTTTGATCCTCAGCATCCCCGCAGCTCCCCACCCCTACCCCACCCCACCCCACCCCTCCGCCGCCAGCCCAGGAGTGATTCCTAAGTGTAGAGCCAGGAGTAACCCCTGAGCATCACCGAGTGTGCCCCCCAAAAACAAAACGATGAAAGTAAAACACAACAGTGGGCTCAGAGCATGGAGTTTGCCTGGGGTTTGCTCTCTGGCACTGCAGGGTCCTCAGGGTGGTTCTGCAGCTCCCCGCCACCACCCCCCCAAAAAAAAAAAAACCATCACAGCTGACAAAGGGAACACTGGGAATATCACGAATGAGCTGCCAACCCAGCTGTGAGCAGTTTTCAGGAGAGCACCAGGAAAGCTCTCTGGTCTCTTCCGAGGTTCAGGAGGCCCCAGGACCTGTCTTGACTCTGCCCTGGTGGGTCCGTGTGCCTGGGACAACTTCCTCAAGAGACCCCCATAGTACAGGGTGGATGGGGAAATGTGTCCAGCCGCTTCCCTGCAGATGCCCAGCTGGCCAGTGGTGGACCGCCCTCCCTCACAGACCCAGGACCCCGATACTGCATCTTCTCATACCAATATGCTCGGCCTGTCTTTCTTTCTTTCTTTCTTTCTTTCTTTCTTTCTTTCTTTCTGTCTTTTGCTTTTTGGGTCACACCCGGTGATGCACAGGGGTTACTTCTGGCACTGCATCAGGAATTACTTATCCTGGTGGTGCTCGGGGGACCATATGGGATGCTGGGAATCGAACCCCAGGTCGGCCATGTGCATGGCAAATGCCCTCCCCGCTGTGCTATTTGCTCCAGCCCTCTCAGCCCGTGTTTCTTTTTCTTTTCCTTTCTGTTCATTTTTGGGCCATACTTGGCGGTGCTCGGGGCTTACTCCTGGCCCTGCATTCAGGATCTCTCCTGGTGGGGCTCAGGGTCTTTTCCTTTTTGGGTCACACCCGGCGATGCACAGGGGTTCCTCCTGGTTCACGCACTCAGGAATTACTCCTGGCGGTGCTCGGGGGACCCTATGGGATGCTGGGAATCGAACCCGGGTCGGCTGCGTGCAAGGCAAACGCCCTACCTGCTGTGCTATCGCTCCAGCCCTGGGACCCACAGACTCGTTAGCATCTGCCCTTTTGCTGGTTTGCCTCCATCTGAGGCAGGTGCCAGCCTCTGCTGCTGGTGGCACTGATGATCGTGGCAGGGGGGGGTGAGGACCCCCCATCTGGGATCCGACAGGCCCCACACGTACTCTCCATCCTGCTTCCTGCCCGGGTGCTCCCTTGCCCCCCCTCCTTCCCAGCCCATGTCCCCCCTGGGTCGTGGGGTTAATGTCTTCAGGGTGCTGGTGCTGCCTGCTACATGGGACATCCACATGGTGCCTGTCGAGATGGGGAGCTTGATGGGGCCAGAGCGACAGCACAGCAGGGAGGGTGTTTGCCTTGCATGTGGTCGACCCTTGTTCGATCCCCAGCATCCCATGGGGTCCCCCCGAGCGCTGCGATCCCTGAGTGTAGAGCCAGGAGGAACCCCTGAGCATCGCTGGGTGTGACCCCCCGCCCCCCGCAAACAAAACAGGATGGGCTGCTGGGGAGAGCTGGGGTCCCCAGACCTGAGGGGCAGAGTCCCACCGCGCAGCATCCTGGATGAGAGACTTGGGGGTGCAGGGACCCCGGCAGGCTGCAGGTTTCCACACTTCCGCCCTCATGGGCTGTGTGACCTCAGGCTGATGATTTGACATATCTGATCCCGAGTACCGCATGAGGATCTCCCTGGTTTGGAGATAAACTGTCAACCCCCGCCTCTACGTCTTTTTTTTTTTCCTTTTTGGGTCACACCTGGTGATGCACAGGGGTTCCTCCTGGCTCTGCACTCAGGAATTACTCCTGGAGGTGCTCAGGGGACCATATGGGATGCTGGGAATCGAACCCGGGTCGGCCGCATGCAAGGCAAACGCTCTACCCGCTAGGCTGTAGCCCCTCCCCCTCTACATCTTACAGTTTCTCCAGTGCCCCTGGCAGGGAATGGAGAAACGGGGAGGGTTCTTTTCCTGCCCCCCCCACCATGTGACCCTCCACTTCCTTCTTCCCACCCACCACTGTCTTGTCCTGGGCGCCCGAGGGTGGGGGGACTTGGTGGTGTTCCCCTGCCCACTGCCTTGGGGACCCCACTCTGTACTCCGGGGAGCAGCAGCCTGGCCCCGAGACCCTCCTGCTGGTCACACAGGCCAGCCCACCTCAGCGTCTTGAAAGCGCCCTGGGCTTTATTTAGACATTACAGGAAGGAAGTGGGTAGAGGGTTATTTTTGACAATCTGGGTTTGAAATGAGACAGGGCTACTCAGGGCACCCGCGCAGCGGGGATGACGACGGGGCGGGCCTGGGGTGTGGAGGGGTTCCTGGGCGGGGGGTTCTGTGGAGACCTCAAGTATCCTGCCATCCCCAACTTGCCTCTCCCAACAACTCCCCCTTCCCCAGCCCCCCCCCCCCCCCCCATCGGAGCTGTCCTTTCCTTACCACCAGGGAGCAAAGAAAAAGGGAAATGAAGCCCTGAATAGAACCGAGTTTCGCTTGGGTCAAGGCCGTGGGCAGGGACCCGAGTGCCGGGGAGCCAGTGGCAGGGCGGGCTGGGGGTCTTGCGGGGGTGGGCGGGTGCTCCTAGACCTGGAATGTGGCTGCAGAGACCAGACGGAAGGAGGGAGAATGGGAGCAGCAGGAGGTGGGTGTGGACAGAGGCTACATTTCCTGGCAAAACTGGGCTCCTGACAAGTTCCTGAAGGGCCAGGCATCGACAAGCAGGTGGCCAGGAGTCTGTGCCACTTGCCAGCCCATGACCCTTGCATGTCATGCCCACCTCTCCTCTCTCTCTCTCGTTTTTGGGCAACACCCTGTAATGCTCAGGGGTTACTCCTAGTTCTGTGCTCAGGGGTCACTCCTGGGATTATGGAATCCTGGGAGAATTGAACCCAGGTTGGCCGTGTGCAAGGCAAGCACCCTCCCCGCTGTACTATCGCTCCGGTTTATTGTGTGTGTGTGTGTGTGTGCATGTGTGTACGTTTGTGTGTGTATGTGTGCATATGTGTGCGTGTGTGTGTGTGCACGTGTAGGGGGGACTGGCACACCCAGTGATGCTCAGGGCTTACTCCTGCTTCTGTCAGAGTTCACTTTCTTTTTTTTTTTTTTTTCCTTCCATTTCTTCTTGGAATTTTTGGCCATCCCCGGAGGTGCTCAGGGATGACTCCTAGTATGGTGCTCAGGGGAACTGTGAAGTACTGGGGATCGAACCCAGAGCTCCTACATGCAATGCTGCACCCCAGTCCTTTGAGACATCTCCCCCCACCACCTAGAGTTTTGGGTTTCTTTTCTTTTTTGGGGGGGAGATGTGTGGCACACCTGAGCGTGCTCAGGGCTTACTCCTGGCTCTGTGCTCGCGGTTCACTCCAGGCAGTGCTCAGGGGACCATAGGTGGGGCCAGGATCAAACCCAGACAGCCACAAGCCAGACAAGCACCTTAATCCCTGTCTGTCTCCCTGTACCTGATCTTGTTTTTTTTTTTGTTTTGTTTTTAGACCACACCCAGTGGTGCCCAGGGCTTACTCCTGTTTCAGTGCTCAGGAAATCACTCCTGGCGGGGCTCAGGGCACCATCTCCAGTGCCGGGATGGAACCCAGGTTGGCCACCTATACGGTTAGAGCCCTGTCAGAGTCCTGAGCCTTGGTTTTTGTTTCTTTTTTTTTTTTCTTTTTGGCTCACACCCGGCGAAGCACAGGGGTTCCTCCTGGCTCTGTACTCAGGAATTACTCCCGGTGGTGCTCAGGGGACCATATGGGATGCCAGGGATCGAACCCGGTTGGTCGCGTTCAAGGCCTCCATGCTGTGCTGTCGCTCCAGCCCCCGATTTCTGTTTTTTTTTTTCTGGGTTTTTGGTTCCTTTGGTTTTGGGTTTGGGGGCCACAGCCAGCTATACTCAGGGCTGACTCCTGGCTCTGTGCTCGGGGGACCGTATGCGGTGCTGGGGCTTGAACCCAGGTGGACTGTGTACAAAGGAAGCACCGTACCCGCTGTACTACTGTTGCTTAGTCCTCCTGCCCCGAGCCTGGGCTTCCTGAGGCCGTGCCCCTGCTGAACCTGAGCACTCGCTAGCCCCCCCGCCCCCCACATTCCTTCCTGGCGGGGTGCTGGCCACTGATGGCCCCCACCCCTTTCTCCACAGTGCAGGCATCGGCCGCACGGGCACCATCATTGTCATCGACATGCTCATGGAGAGCATCTCCACCAAGGGTGAGGGGACCCTGCGGGGGCGCCGGGCTGGGTGACCAGGCGGGCTCCCCCCAACCCTCCCCCGGCACACCCCCGGGCATCTCCCTCCTTCCGGGTTTGAGTTCCCGCTGTCCTGGCTGCTCAGGGCTGGACTGTGACATCGACATCCAGAAGACCATCCAGATGGTGCGCGCCCAGCGCTCGGGCATGGTACAGACGGAGGCTCAGTACAAGTTCATTTACGTGGCCATCGCCCAGTTCATCGAGACCACCAAGAAGAAGCTAGAGGTCATCCAGGTGCGTGCAGGCCGGCGGGGTGCCCCAGGGGGAGCGCACCCCCCCCACCACCGGCCTCCCACCACTCTCTCTCTCTCTCTCTCTCTCTGCCCGCAGAACCAGAAGGGGCGGGAGTCAGAGTATGGGAACATCACCTACCCCCTGGCCATGAAGAACGCGCATGCCAAGGCCACACGCACCTCCTCCAGGTAGGTCAACCCAGCCTTGCGTGGCTTTCCAGAACTTTCCCTGTCTTTGCCAAGAAAAGGGCAGCTGGTTGGGGCTGAAGCCATAGCACAGCGGGGAGGGCGTTTGCCTTGCACGCGGCCACCCTGGTTTGATTCCCAGCATCCCATAGGGTCCTCCGAGCACCGCCAGGAGTAATTCCCGAGTGCATGAGCCAGAAGTAACTCCTGAGCATCGCCAAAAAGAAAAAAATATATATATATATAAAAACAAAAGGGCTGCAGTGCTCCACGTGCAGGAGTGGGGGGATCCCTGAGCACGGAGCAGGAAGTAATCCCTGGACCTCCAGTGGCCCGAGAGAGTGCAGTGGCTAAGGCCAGTGCCTTGCACGCAGCTGACTCGACGACTTCAATCCCTGGCATCCCATAGGATCCCCAAAGACACCAGGCCAGGACTGATCCCTGAGTACAGAGCCAGAAGTCAGCCCTGAGCACAGTGGGAAATAACCCCCTCGAAAACCAAGAAATCAGAAAGCCCAAAGACTTAATCTGCATTTATTTGGGCCCGAGAGGTGGCTCAGAGGGCTGGAGTCCACCGTTGCTAGCGGGAGGGAGGCCTGGCCTGGCCTTGAAACCTGGCACTGGGCGTGAGCCCAGAGCACAGAGCAGCGAATGACCCTCATGTACCTTTATTTTATTTATTTTTTGCTTTTTGGGTCACACCCGGTGATGATACATGGGAGTTCCTCTTGGCTCTGCACTCAGGAACTACTCCTTGCAGTGCTCAGGGGACCATATGGGATGCCGGGGATTGAACTCGGGTCGGCCTTGTGCAAGGCAAATGCCTCCAGCCCCCTTCAGTCATGTCCGAAATACTGTCCCACTCTACCGAGGTTCAAGCTTGACTTTATGCTCTGAGATGCCTTCCCCGTGGGCAATGTGTGTGGGATGGCGTGTGGGCTCCCCTTTGATCTCCCCAAGCAGCTGTCAATCAAACTGAGAGGCAGGGACCCCATGTGCCTGTGCTCCTGGCTGTGTGCTGGCCCTGGAGCCCTCCCTGAAGTCTCACTGCTGGGTGCCCGGCTGGGTCCTGGCACCAGGTCTTGACCTCACACCGCTGCCCCCTCCAACCCCCCCCACCCCCCCCAGACACAAGGAGGAGGTGTACGAGAACCTGCAGAGCAAGAACAAGAAGGAGGAGAAGTTGAAGAAGCAGCAGCGGTCGTCGGGAGAGAAGGAGAAGAGCAAGGGGTCCCTGAAGCGGAAGTGAGCTGAGCTCCGAGCCCAGGGGATGGCCCGCATGCCCAGAGTCCTGGATGCCCGCCTGCCTGTGCCCGCGGCTCTGCGCTCTCCCCGGGTGCCCTCCGGACCTCACCTGCTCGGTGACAGCCCCTCACCCCCTTCTCTCTGCAGCCTGGGTAGCGTCTGGCTGCAGACTCGGCCACCAGCCAGCGGATGCCCCGGCCTGAACCCAGTCGATTGTAATTTAAATGGCGTGTCCCTCCCTCTCCCTGACCTGTACATAACCCCGTGAGGCCCCAGGCTGGGCCCAGCCCTTCTGTAAATAAAACCCTAGAATCCGGTGAGGGGGGTCTCTGACTCTGGTGCCTGGTAGGAGGGGCCAGAGGGGAGGGGGAGAGAGCTGGAAGGGGGTACCTGGGGCCACAGACCTCTCCCAGGTCCAACTGGGTGGGCCTGAGCACCCAGCCCCATCAACCTGCAGCCACGGGGAGCCCTGATACCTCTGGGGGTGGCTTTGGACCCCTGAGACCCACCTCCTCAAATTGGAAAAAAAAGGCATAGAAGAGACTGTGGGGACCTGGGTCTGTTTTTTTTTTTTTCCTTCTTTTTGGGTCACAGCAGGTGATACACAGAAATTCCTTCTGGCTCTGCACTCAGGAATTACTCCTGGGAGTGCTTGGGGGACCATATGAGATGCTGGGAATTGTGCTATCGCTCCAGCCCTGCCTGGGTCTGTTTGGGCTGGACCAGTTCTTAGTCTTTTCATTCCTATTTTTGTTTGTTTGTTTGGGGCCTCAATGGGCAATGCTCAGGGATTACACCTTTCTCTGCATTCAGGAAACACTCCTGGCAGTGCTCAGGGGACATTATGGGGTGCTGGGAATCGAACCCAGGTTAGCGGTGTGTGAGGCAAGTGCCTCCCCAGTGCACTGTGGCTCCAGCCCTCCTGAGTCTTTGAAGGAGGAGAATGACCTTGCAGGAAGTTGTGAAGGCCCCCCCCAGAGCTGTGCCTGGAGACAGGAGCATAGACTTGGCATGCAGAATCCTGGAACTGCATCTAGTTCCCCATCGCCCTCCAAAACAGAGCTGGGAGGGGCTGAAGCAGATAGCACAGCGGGTAGGGCATTTGCCTTGCAGGCGGGCCAACCCAGGTTCGATTCCCAGCATCCCATATGCTCCCCCAAGCACCGCCAGGAGTAATTCCTGAGTGCATGAGCCAGGAGGAAGCCCTGAGCATCGTCAGATGTGACCCAACAAGAAAAAAACAAAAACAAAAAGCATATCTGGGAATAGCCCCCAGCACAGTTGGGCACAGCCTCACAAAGATGAAACAAACACAAAGATTGAACATATTAATCCCCAACAGCACCCCGTTCCCCAGCATTAAACAATTAGAAAATTCGCTTAAGGTCACGGACTACTGAACAGCGGAAGCAATGATCTATCCATTCATTTTGGTTTTTGGTCCACACCTGGCAGTCCTCAGGACTGACTCCTGGCTCTATGCTCAGGGTGGTGCTTGGAACCGTATGTGGTGACAACGATTCAAAGTGGTGTCAGCTGCATGGGTGGCAAATGCCTTACCTGCTGTCCTGTCTCCCCAGGCCTAGCAAAGAGGATTTTCACTTGGGCCCAAACTATATCCTGGAGAGGCAACTCACAAGTGGGGTCACTGTGTGTGTGTGTGTGTGTGTGTGTGTGTGTGTGACAGCCACACAGCCCTGGACTTCTAGAACAGAGATCCAAAGCACTCTGTCCTGGAGAGACAACTCACAAGTGGAGTTCGTGTGTGTGTGTGTGTGTGTGTGTGTGTGTGACAGCCACACAGCCCTGGACTTCTAGAACAGAGATCCAAAGCACTCTGTCCTGGAGAGACAACTCACAAGTGGAGTTCGTGTGTGTGTGTGTGTGTGTGTGTGTGTGTGTGTGACAGCCACACAGCCCTGGACTTCTAGAACAGAGAGCCAAAGTACTCTGTCCTGGAGAGGCAACTCACAAGTGGAGTCACTGTGTGTGTGTGTGTGTGTGTGTGTGTGTGTGTGTGTGTGAGTGACAGCCACACAGCCCTGGACTTCTAGAACAGAGAGCCAAAGCTGAGTACAGGCTGGGAGGCCGGACCAAGTGGCACTGCATGTTTCCGGGTTGCTACGTGCTTGAGCGATCAGACCCTCCCTTGGCTGGGGGGCGGAGTGGGAGGTTAATTCAACTCCCGATCAGCTTCCTTTTCCCCCAAGTCCTGAGCGTGGGCCTCTTCTCGTTCCTTCTTTGCATTCAGATTTTTATCTTTCTTTATTTTTATTGGATCGCCATGAGATATACAGTTACGAAGTTGTTCATTATTGAATTTCAATCATACAATGTTCCAACCACACGTACCTTTCCCCCCACCTCAGGTTTTATCTTGATTAAAATGACCCCAGATTTCCATCTATTGAGTGTAAGCTACACAAGGGTTTGGAAAAGAATTAAAAAAAAAAAAAGAAAAACCAAAGACAGCTATTTTAAAAATATAAAGGGGCCTGAGTGATAGTGCTGTGGTAGGGTGCTTGCCTTGGACATGGCCGACCCGGGTTTGATCCCTGTCACCCCATATGATCCTCTGAGCCCACCAGGAGGGATTCCTGAGCACAGAGCTAGGAGTAAGCCCTGAGCACTGCTGAGTGGTACATATATATAGTGGTACAATATAGTCCCCAGGAATGATCTCAGAGCACAGCGCCAGGAATCAGTTCTGGGAACTGCCTGGTTCGGTTCCCCTGCGAAAGTCCCACAAAACAAACACAATAAAATCACACAAACAAGAGAGAAAAAGTGTCCTGTATTCACCAGAGAACTGCCGGGGAATGAGCCAGGGCTGGGACGAGCCCTGTGCCCTGTGGTTTATGGGCCATTACTGCCTCCCCTGGCCCCTCCAGAAAGGGAGATGAGCTTCCCAGAGCGCCCCAGGCATACCTGTGAACCTCAACCGAGGGCTGCGTTCCAGCAAGCATGTGCATGGTCAGGGCAACTGGAGCAGCTGGCAGTGAGCACTGTGCAGGGAGTCCGTGCACCACGACCCAGGTGTGACTGCCCATGAGCACCGTGGCAGCGCCTGTTCTGATAACACAACGGGGAGGGTGCTGCACGAGGCCTGAGGCTGACCCAGGTTCTGTCCCTGGTATCCTAAGCCCATCAGGGGTGATCCCTGAGTAACCCCCGAGCACCACCAGGTGTGGCTCAAAAACAAAACAAAACAAAAAGCCAGAAAGGACTTGGGAAAATGCGCCTTTCCTGGAGAGTGAATCCCTGAGTCCCCCTCAGTCCCCCTGCTGGGGTCCCTCTTCAGTGTCCCTGACACAGTTGTGACATGGCCAACGGGATAACTCCGCTTCTAGAGCTCAGGGAACTGTAGAAAGGAGCAAAGAAACAGTCGCAAAAAAAATAAGGACTGATGGTTTGGAGACAGAGTCCAGCAGGGAGGGCACTGGCCTTGCACGCAACTGACATGGGTTCGATTCCCGGTATTCCATATGGTCCCCGCCCTCAGCACAGCCAGGAGTGATTCCTGAGTGCAGAACCAGGAGTAACCTCCGAGCATCTCCAGGTGCGGCCCCAAAGCAAAATAAAGGACTTGATGGGCAGTAAGGATGCAAACAAAGGGGAAAGAAAGACACAGATAGAAGTGGAGAGGGAGAGAGAGGGAGGGGGGGAGACAGGATGAGAGAGAGAGAGAGAGAGAGAGAGAGAGAGAGAGAGAGAGAGAGAGAGAGAGAGAGAGAGAGACTGTGCGGCTGGGCTCCGAGCAGGTAGGCTCCCAAAGGCTGGGAGCGCAGGCCCTCCGGGGGGTGGGGGTGGGGCGTCACCTGTGGGCCTCAGGGCCCCGGTCCCAGCAACGCCCTTTTCCATCCCAGCTCCATCACACAAAAGAAAAGCCGGTTCCGCCTCCTCTAACCGCCTTCAGCCTAACTGCCCGGGGCTGGGGCCGGGCTGGGGGCTCCCTCGACAGGGTCCAGGCGCGGCCCCTGCTGGCCCGTCGGTCTGGACCGGTCAGTTTCCCGGGCTCCTGCCAGATGAGGCGTCTGGCTAGGGTGGGCGCCCCGGGGCTGAGAGATGACAGTGGCCCCCCCCCTCCCCCCGCCGTCCAGCAGCCGGAACGCCCAGTCCAGCCGCCACCGGGCCAGGTGGGGGCAACTGCCCACCCAAGTCCCGGCCTAGCTGAGGCCCGGCTGGCCGCAGGGATCCCAGGTCCAGGCGCTGGCCCTGGGCAGCGCGGGAGGCTTCGAGGAAGGGGCTGCCTGGGGCCCTCGGGTGGGGCTGGTGGCAGGCCACGTTTTGCCCCCTTGGTCCCCTCGACGGACGGCCACGTTCCCGGCGGAGGCCCGGGATCTGGGCGGCGGCGGCCTGGAGGCGGCGGCCCTGGCGGGCGCTGGGACGGAAGGGGTTAAGGCGTGGGGGGGCAGCCTATGGCAGGAGGACACACCTGTGCGCGGGGCGGCGGGCGGGGCCCAGGTGAGGAGCCTGCGCCGAGGCCGTCGGACGAGGAAGGAGGAAGAGCGCCGAGGCCCGGGCGGGCGGGTGGTGGCCCGGCCGGCTCGCCCTGCGCCCGCGCCGGGGGGCCTGGGCCCGGTGGCAGGTAAAAGGGCCCCTGGCAGCGGGCACCTGAGCTGGGGGGCGCCGGGCGGGAGGTGGGGGCGGGGGCGCCCCCTTCCCCGGGCCTGAGTCGGGCTCGGCGGGCGGCGGGCGCGGCCGGATCCCGAGTGGGGAGCCCAGGGGCACGAGGGCGGGGGTGCCGGACTCGGCCCCAGGTGCTCGGCCCCCACCGTGGGGTATGGGGGTGCAGCAGGGGCGCCCCCCAGACGTGTCCCCAGGGAGGCGGGCGGGCTTAGGGAGGTGGGATGGGACGGGGCCAGGGCTCGGCCGTGCGCACCGGTCGCGGGGCCCCGCGCGCCCGCCCTGGAGGGTGGCAGGCTGGGTGGGGGCCCCCGTCTTACCCAGCAGTGTTTGGGTGCTGGATGGGAGTCTCTAATACTGCCGGGTAATGATGGAGGCCCCGGCCCCGAGGCGGCCCCCGGGCGGCGTCGCGCCCCGCGGCGGGGACACAAGGGCCGGCCCCTCCCCCAGCCCCGGGATCTGTCACCGGCCGGCCCGGACCCCTACAGCGCCCGGGACCCCTCCCCCCCCCCCCCCCCCCCGCCCCGCGCCCGCCGGGCCCCCCGCGGCCAGGGGCCGCCCCCGCTGGCCGGCTCTGGGCCCATCTTCCAGTACAGTGTTGGCTGGTGTGACCGTGAGACTCCTAACACTGTCTGGTAAAGATGGCCCCCGGGCCGGCGCCCTCGGCGCTGACCTTCAGGGGGCCCCGCGCCCGCCGCCCGCACCCCTGACCTTTCCCCCCGCGCGGGGCACCGAGGCAAAGGGAACAATGGAGGCGCCAAAGATGGCGGCCCCCAGGCACGGGGCCGCGGCGCCCGCCCGCCGCTTTGTCTCGCCGGGCCCCGGCGGCTCGCCCGACCGGCCGCCCCTGGACGCCGCCGCCTCCGTGCCCCGGACGGAAGGGGCCGCGGCCGTCCGGGCCCAGGCCCAGGGTCCGAGGGCCGGCGGAGGGGTGCGGAGCTAGGCCAGGCCCGGGCCCGAGCCCAGGCCCGGCCGGGGGCTCCTCTCCCAGCGATCCGGGACCCCGGGGCGGCTTCTCCTGGCCGGGGCCGAGGGTGCGAGCCCTGGTGGTGGTGGTGGTGGTGGGGGGGGGACACGGGGGGACACGGGGCCTCCCCCTGGCCGTCGCCGAGGAAGCCGCGCCTCGGGGTCATCACATTTTTGGCCTCGTTCAGCAAAAGCGCAGCTGTCCCGGCCTTCGAAAAGGAGATGTTGGGGAAGCAACAGGGCGGTGCGGTGCGGCCCGGCTGGGGGGGCTGGGGTCGGGTGTCCCGGGGCCTGTTTCCAGGGGGGGGGAGCCCCGGGCGCGGGTCGGCCCCCCCCCCCGCACCCCGAACCGCCCGGGTCGCCGCGCGCGCGCCCCCTGCAGGCGGGCGCCGACACCCGCCCGGGGCAGCCGGCCGCGCATGCGCGCCCCGCCCCCGCGTAGACACGTGGAGCCTCGACCGTCTTCAGTAATAAAAATTTATTGAGAATTTCTGGATTGGTGGTTATTGTCTCCCAACCAGAGGGAGGAACCAACATTGTTGGAAAAAAAAAATCACCGAAAAAAAAAAATCACACGCTGTCCAGTATCCTTGGCCGACAACGGGAAGTCATGACCCTGGACACGGGGCAGTCTTCTGCTTCATTTTTCATCAGGACGGGTGCGGTGGGGACCATCACCGGATACTGGGGCGGGGCTGTGGGCCCCGTGCCGGTTCCTCCAATGCTGGGGGAGAAGTAGATCCACCTCTCCGGGGCGTCCCCCTCACCAGCTTCATTTCTTACCCTTGATGAGACTGTCACTGTGGAAAGAACATCTCAGGTCATAAATGTGAAAGGCAGAGCACCCTGGGTGAGCCCTCCCGAATTGAGCTGGTGCGGGTGGGTGGGAGTGAAGGGGTTCAGGGGAAGACATGGGTATTGGGAACCCGGCTGCAAGATCCCTCGAGGTTCAATCGAGAACTTACCTTCCCCTGCGGGTACCAGTTGCCAAGATGAACAGGAAAGAGAAAAAGAGAAACACACAGGTGACTGGCGAGCTCCCTGCCCCACCTACCCTACACTCCCTCTGGCTCCCAGGAGAGGAGGACAGAGGGGTTGGGGGCTGGGTCACAGGCCCAGGAAGGGCACATCCTGGTTCTCTGGCCCCCACCCGCGCTTCTGCCCTTTTCTTACTGCCTGCCTATGCCCAGCTGGCAGGCTTTTTTTTACAAGAATGATCCCATCTGGTCTCAAGGTCAGCCTAGGGGGTGGGGGTGGACATGACTCAGAGGGCTGGAGCAGGAGCTCAGCAGGAAGGAGCCCTGGGTTTGATCCCCATTATCATCTCACCCCTGCACGCCACCCCCAAAAAATACCCCTGTGGACACGTGAGGGATGGGCCAACTGTCTGCTTCCTGGCTTTGGTGCCGAGAAATGGAACCTTTCCAGGGTCGTTTCAGGGAATAAGCTCACCCCCAAGAACCCAAGGAACCCAACCCAGCCCCCTCACCGGGTGAAACTTTCATCCTGGAGGTTCAGCACGAGGTTGTCAGCGGTGAGATAGATCCGGTTCTGGGACGTGGCGATCTGCAGGCAGAAAACGAGCACCATGGCCCGCGTTCAGCAGGGATGACCCTGGCTCCACCCCAAAACCCACTCAGTCATGACCGAGAAGGGACACACTGGCCTGGGCGCCCCACACAGGAACTACCACACCAACTTTCACCTTAAACATACACCCAACAGATTCTGCCCTCTCCCCTGTTCTTAAAAACTAAACACGGGGGTTGGAGAGAGAACACAGGCGGGTAAGGCGTTGGCCTTGCACGTGCCCAGCCCAGGTTCAATTTCTGGCACTCATGGTGCCCCCGGCCAGCAATGATCCAAGAGCAGAGCCCAGCCTGAAGCAAGCCCCAAGAACGCTTGGGGTGTATCCCCCTGAGCCCCCACTCCAGAAGCCAGATGATGAGCCCTGAGGGAGCCACCGTGGGCAGGGACAGCATGTCCCCTCCCGAGGCGAGCCGTCCCCCTACTCACCGTCTTGGAGATGTTCTGGGCGGCCCGGATCTTGCGCAGTTTGATGTAGCCGGGGTTCTTGCTCAGCGCCTCGCCCAGGTGAGGGGGGTGGGGTTAAGGGGGTCACAGGATGCTATGGCTCACCACCCAGCCAGCCCTGCCCCCCTCTGGGCGGTCAGATCCAAGGATGCGCTCACATGGCTCCTGCCCAGTCCCACCTTGGTCCTTACCTGTGGGCCCCCCACTTGCAGGCAGCTGCCGGGAACTGGGGGCAGCCGCGGACACGGAGGGGAGGCCGGGTGCTCTCCATCTGCCTTACAGCGCGGGGCCAGGTCTCGGGGACCCCCGCTAAGATTTCAGATGCCACTGGTGCGCCCCCCCCCCCGCCCACAATGTGTGTGTGTGGGGGGCTGGCCAAGGACGAGGGCACGAGTCGCATTCGCCTTAGTCTCATCACAGGCCTAGAGGGGTCGGCGGGCGGGGGATGGGGGTGGGGGACACGACCCACTGGGCCAAGGATATCATCTTGGCGGCCTCAGCCTCACCCTCGGCCTGCACAATCTTCTGCCGCTGCTCTTGCTTGGCCTTCTCCACCAAGAACTGGGCCCGCTGGGCCTCTTGCTGGGCTGTGGGCAGGAGGCGGCTGTGGTCACGGGTGCCCGTTGCGACCCCCCACCCCACCCCCGACCCCCCACGGCTCCTCAGGGTCACGCACCCACTTGCTTGGCCTCCACGGCCGCTGTGTACTCGCGGCTGAAGCTCAGCTCCGTGATGGCCACGTCGTCCAGGATGAGGCTGAAGTCCTTGGCTCTCTCTGTCAGCTCCCGTCGGATCAGCAGCGATACCTGGGGGCAGGGGGGGTGTGTGTGTGCAGAGAGCTGAAAAGGCGGAGTCTGCCGAGACCCCCTGCAGCTGGCCGGGTCAGGGTGCACGGCGTCCCTCCCCCAACCAGTTGTTGGTCGGAGAGATAAGAGTGCCACAAGGTCCAACACCCCATCCAACCAACCCCAGCACCCCACCCCTGCTTCTGGCCTGGCGCCCGTTATATAACTGGGTCTGGCCCCCAAGCCCCAGTCCTGGCTCTCCCCTCCTTCCCCAGGGCCATTTCCCGTGTCCTTTGGTCGTGTGTGTATGTCTTGGGTCCTGGCGCTTCTGGGGACCAACAACCCCCACCTCTCCTCTCCCCCACCCCAGGCAGGGCTCTGAGCCCGCGGGCAGACCTGGGCGCGCTGGGTGATGAGCTGCGAGGCGTTGAACTTGGCCACCACGCTCTTGAGCACCTCATTGACGATGGACGGCAGCACCCGCTCCTCGTAGTCGAGCCCCAGGCGCTGGTACATACTAGGCAGCTCCATGGCATTGGGGCGGGACAGCACCCGCAGGGAGATGTTCACCATCTGCAGGTCTGAGAGGGAGGTGAGCAGGGGCTGATGCCGCCGACGGCGCGTCCCCCAGGTGAGCCTCGACCCTGGCCCTCGGGATCCACTTCCACCAGGAAGCCTTCCTGGATGACCTGCCCGCTGGCGAAGAGGACCCCTTTCCACCCGTTTCCCGGAACTTCCTATCGAGCTCCACCGCCACCCTTGAGCACCAAGCCTGCGCTTCATGAACCCTTCACACCCACTGCCCAGCATTCAGCACTCAGCGAGTAACCAGCACGGAGAACCGGAACAGACAGAGGCCAGAAGAGGTGCGGCCTTGCCCCAGCATGCACACAATTTGAGGGTCTGGGGAATAGCAAAGGTCTAAGGCAGCTCTGTGCGGAAAGGGGTCAGGCTCAGGGAAGTGGGGTGCAGGGAGAAGTCTGCAGCGAGCCCTATCGAGCATTGGGCCCCATTTCTCCCGGACAGCACCCAACTACCCCCAGGATGTTCCCCGATGAGTGAGTCCTGCACTTAAAACGGGCCTTCCGGGCTGGAGAGATAGCACAGCGGGTAGGGCGTTTGCCTTGCATGCGGCCGACCCGGGTTTGATTCCCAGCATCCCATATGGTCCCCTGAGCACCGCCAGGAGTAACTCCTGAGTGCAGAGCCAGAAATAACCCCTGTGCATTGCCAGGTGTGACCCAAAAAGCAAAAAAAAAAAAAGGGGGGGCCTTCCAAAACACGCTTGGCAAGCTTAGCTTGGGGGGGGGCGGGAGGGGGAGAGAGGGAGGGAGAGAGAGAGAGAAAGAGAGGGAGAGAGAAACAACGGCCAAGACACACTTGTCCTGCACAGCAAACCAGGGTTCAATCCTCGCATCCTGTTAAGATCCAAGCACCGACAGGTGTGACCCCTGAGCACAGGACCAGGAGTAACCACGGAGCATCGCTGGGTGTGGCCCCAGAACAAGAACAATAACAAAGAAACATGCTTTGTTGCCGGCAGAGAGAACTCAGAGGCGCTGAGTGGGACAACTGATGACTAAAACCTTCCAGGTAGGTAGGTAGGTACTTGGGTCTCATTTCTTTGGCACATGCAGATGCCCCAAAGCCCAAGGGATGTTCCCTCTACCAGCTTCCCGGGGGTGTATGTGTGTGGGGGGGTGGGGTTCTCAGGTCAGGCACCCCATCAGCCCAGTGCCTCAACCTACCTTTGGAGCCTGTGGGGGAAGAAATTTTCCGGGGTCTGGCCCGGATGTCATAGATGATGGGGTACTGGAACCAGGGGATCCTGGAGGGGGAGGAACAGGGGCAGGTGTTGGGGGTGGGTTGTGGGGGGGGGGCGTGCACACCACGTGCCTCCGACCACGCGGGAGCCCGGCGCTGCAGAACTGCTGGCAAGTCCGTCCCGCTTTCAGTCTGGGGCGCCGGGGCGAAGGGTCAGGGGGTCAGGGTCACGCGGCCGGGCCCGCCGTTACCTGAAGTGGAGGCCCTCGGCCAGGATGGTGTCCTGCTGCACGCCACCGATCCGGTTAAAGAAGATGGCCCTGTGGCCGCCTTCCACTGCGGGGAGAGGGGCGCGGGTGAGGCCCGGCTGGGGGAGGGGGCGGGGTGCGGGGCCGGGGGCGCGCGGGGGGCGGCGGGCTGAGCAGGGGCAGGTCCGGCGGGCAGCACGGGGTCAGGGGCACGAGCAGGGCAAGGGGTACGGGCAGGGGCAGGGGCACCGGCAGGGGCAGGCGCAGGCCCATGCCCGGCCGCTCACCGGTGAACACGGACTCGCGGACTCCGTAGGCCACGGCGCCGGCGCCCAGCAGCAGCTTCAGCGCCGTGCCCATGCCCCGGGGCCCGGAGGGCAGCCGCCCCGCCAAGTCCTTCAGGTTCTGGGCCATGGCCGATCGAGAGGCCGGCGGCACCGGCCAGCCCGCAGCCCGCACACGAGGGTCCGGGGCGCGCCGGGCTTGTGGGAGAAAGGGCACCGGAAGTGCGCGCCCTGGCCCCGCCCACTGCCGGCCGGGGCCGCGCGCACAGGAAGCGCGCACCCGGAAGTCCCGCCTTCCCCCCCCCCACCCGGCCATTGCTGGCGCGCGCCTTCTTCGCCAACCAATGCCCGCTTTCAAGATGGCCGCCGGCGCGCCCGGGCCCGGCGCGAGGCCCTGGAGGCGGAGGCGGTGCGCTCACTTCCGGTCCGCTGGCAAAGATGGCTGCGCCCGGGGCTGGCTTTCAGCCTCGTGAGCGGCGGGATGGGGAACGCGACGAGGACTGGGAGGCGGTGGCGCCCAAGCGGCCCCGCTTCGGGGCGGGCAGCAAGTGCGGAGGTCGCAGGCTCATTGTGGTGCTGGAAGGGGCCAGTCTGGAGACAGTCAAGGTAACCGGGACCCGGTCCGGGTTCTGCGGACCCCCTGGGCGGGGGAGGCGACGGTGCACGGGGATGCACGGGCTGCCCAGGCGGGGGAGACGCGCCCTTTAGAGGAAGGGCGGCCGGTTGGACGTTCCGAGTGACGAGCACTGCTTGTTTTCCTTGTTGCCCGGTCCTTGCTTCCAATTGATGGACCGTGATTGGCTATAAAGTCATCGGAGGGGATGCGGGTTCGATCGCCGGCCTCGTTGCATGTTCCAAGAGAACTGGCCAAAGCAGGGGAGTTGACCAGGACACTGTAGCCTGCTCTGCCCAGCCCCCTTGCTGGACTTTCCGTGTTTTTTTTTTTCTCTTTTTTTTTTGGGTTTCACCCAGTGATGCTCAGAGATTACTCCTGGCTCTTCACTCGGGAATTACTCCTGGCGGTGCTGGGGGACCCTATGGGATGCTGGGAATCGAACCTGGGTCGGCCGCGTGCAAGGCAAACGCCCTACCCGTTGTGCTGTCGCTCCGGCCCCCTGGACTTTCCGTGTTTTCATTCTTTAGAAGGTGTCTGCTGTCAGTCTTCCGTAGTTAACGACTTAAGAATTGGATTTGGTATTGTCGGAACACCTTTTTTCCTATCGTTTCAGCTCTTTCCCCGAATAAATCCAGCAACCCCCCACCTCCCGTCCCCTAAAACGCAACGTTTTCATTCCCTCTGACGTTCTTTGTCGTTCTAGAGGGCTAAGTTGGCGCAACACGGGGGCCAGAAGAAATAGTACGGTTTTAGAAGTCAGATTTCGTTTTGGGCCTTGGTTTTTAATGTTAAATGGAATCTTGGGGAAGTAAGTTCGTCTTCATTTGTAGGAGTGGGCTAGTTAGTCTTTTGGGGTTAATGTTATCTATTATGTCTTTTCCATCCATATATATATATATATATAGTTTTGGGGGGGGTATGAAATTGGGTCACACACGGCTCCATGCTCTGTGCCTCAGGGTGACCCGGCGTGGTGCTCCCAGCCCATGTGTGTACCTGGGATTTGAGCTGGAGTTAGCAGAGTGATAGCTCAGCGGTAGGGCATTTGCCTTGCCTACAGCCAGCCTGGCCGAGCCAGGTTCGATTCCTCCACCCCTCTTGGAGAGCCTGGCAAGCTACCGAGAGAGTATCTCACCCGCTTGGCAAAGCCTGGCAAGCTCCCCGTGAGGTCTTCGATATGCCAAACACAGTAACAAGAAGTCTCACAATGGAGACGTTACTGGGCCCACTCTAGCAAATCGATGAATAATGGGAGGACTGTGACCGTTAGCAGGGTGCAAGCATCACTAACCTCTTGTTACCTCTCTGGCTCCATGTAATCCTTTTTTTTTTTTTTTGCCACACCCAGTGGCAAATAAACTTTTTTTTTTTATTCATCTCACAGTTGCTCTCACGCTTCTTATTCTTCATGGGGTTAAGTGTTACTTTCTTTGAGGATTGACTCGCTGCTATAAATCGGGTCCTTGTGAGTCATTTATTTTTCCTGTTTGTCACAGTTTGACTTACGTATTCATTGTCTTGTCATGAGTCTTCCCCTTGGAGGCTATGTGACGGCAAGAATAAGGCTTAGAAACTTTTTCTTCTTACTTAGGATATCTCTGGTAAGTATTGGAGAAAATGAATAACACATGCTACTCGTTCTCACGCCTTTTTTTTTTTTTTTTTTTTTGCTTTCTGGGTCACACCTGGCGGCGCTCAGGGGACCATATGGGATGCTGGGAATCGAACCCGGGTCGGCTGCGTGCAAGGCAAACGCCCTACCCGCTGTGCTATTTCTCCAGCCCCATAGTGACTTTCTAGCCTACTCTCTACAACTCACAGTAGAAAAACTACAGTGAGGGGCTGGAGCAATAGCACAGCGGGTAGGGCGTTTGCCTTGCACACGGCCGACCCGGGTTCGATTCCCGGCATCCCATATGGTTCCCTGAGCGCCGCCAGGAGTAATTCCTGAGTGCAGAGCCAGGAATAACCCCTGTGCATTGCCGGGTGTGACCCAAAAAGAAAAAAACTGCAGCGAGCCAGAGACCATGGAACTGAACTGGTTGTAACATCCACATAGAGTGAAACTAGATTCTTCTACTTGAGGATTTTTCCTGTTACTCAGTGTCCTGTGTTCTTAGCTCTCATTTCTCAGTGACTGTCTTGTTATTTCAGCTTCCGTATTGTGACATTGCTCTTTCAGCTAGTTGTTTCAAAATCTCCATCCCCCTTACCCTAAGGTATTGCTTGATGATTTTTTTTTTATTTTGGTCACACCCAGCGATGCTCAGGGGTTCCTCCTGGCTCTGCACTCAGGAATTACTCCTGGCGGTGCTGGGGGGAACCATATGGGATGTCGTATCGTTCTGGCCCCTGATATTCTGTTGAGAAAGCAAAGCTGCCTTCCCACGCCTGTTTCTACCTCACAGGCTTACCGGCCACTTGAATGCTCGTAGGACTCCTGATTGCTCCACAGGAGTTTCTGACCAGATTTTTGTGGAGTCCAGCTGCACAGGTGGGATGTGTTGAAGTCGCCAGGGTCCCCCGTGCTGTGCTAAGGTGGGGAGACGGGGAGACACCCCCCTCTCTCTGTTGGGGACCACACTCAAGGGCTTACCCTTGAGTGTTCTACCTGGTCTCCCTCAGCTCCTGTAAACAAGCTTTTGGCCCTTCTCACTTATTCCTGCCTGGCAGCAGAACCCCTCAAGTGGCTTTTTGGGGTCAAACCCAGCATTGCTGTAGTCAGGAAGTACTCCGGGCATTGCTGGGGGACCATATGGGATGGATGTGTGCAAGGCAAACACCCTCCCGGCTGTCCTATGCTCTGGCTCCCTCCCTCAAGGGACTTTGCCTAATAACCACAGGCTTATTAGTTGTTTGTTTTTTTTTTTTTTTTTTTTTTATCTTTTGTTTTGGGTCAGTCCCAGTAGTGCAGGGGCTCAATCCAGGACAAACTTGATCTAGCTCTTCAACTCTCTTCCAAGCCTAGGCTTTTACTTTAAATCCACTTCGGGTTTTTGTTTGGGGGCCGCGCCCTGCTGTGCTCAGGGATCACCCTTGGTGGTGCTCAGGAGGCCCTGTGTGCTGCCGGGGTGGAGTGTGGGTGGGCCATGTGCAAGGCAAACTCCCTGCCCAGAATCAGGCCCAGAATCCACTTTTATTTTTGGCTTTGTGGGTCACACCTGGCGATGCTTAGAGGTTCCTCCTGGCTCTGCACTCAGGAATTACTCCTGGTGGTGCTCGGGGGACCCTGTGGGACGCAGGGGATCGAACCTGGGTTGGCTGTGTGCAAGGCAAATGCCCTCCCCGCTGTGCTATGGCTCCAGCCAGCCCCTTCCTTTCCTTTTACTTTATTATTTATTTATTGCTTTGTGGGTCACACCTGGCGATGCTCAGGGGTTCCTCCTGGCTCTGCACTCAGGAATTACTCCTGGCAGTGCTCGAGGGACCCTATGGGACGCAGGGGATCGCACCTGGGTTGACCGCGTGCAAGGCAAACGCCCTCCTCGCTGTGCTATTGCTCTGCCCCACTGAATCCACTTTGGATCCTGTGGAAGCATAGGTGTGTCCTCCTTCCCTGGCCCCTCTCAGATCAGTTTTTTGGGGGGGATTGGGAACCCTAATAAATGTGGCCACAGTCCCCTCTCACCCAAGTTCGGGGCTCGTCGCCTGAGAACCGGCCTGGCCCAGTCTGCAGATGGTGCTGGTGGGGGTGGGGGGGGCCTCGCGGGGTACTCCGTCACGTACCTCCCGTCCCTCAGGTGGGGAAGACTTACGAGCTCCTCAACTGTGACAAGCACAAGTCGATGCTCTTGAAGAATGGCCGGGACCCCGGGGAAGTGAGGCCCGACATAGCCCACCAGGTACCGCCGGCACGGTGCGAGCGGGCGGCCGGGAGGGTGGCGGGTGCTACCGCTCCACCCCTCATCCTGGGTTTCTGTCCCCCCCAGAGCTTGCTGATGCTGATGGACAGCCCCCTGAACCGGGCGGGCCTGCTGCAGGTGTACGTGCACACGCAGAAGAACGTGCTCATCGAAGTCAACCCCCAGACGCGCATCCCCAGGACCTTCGAGCGGTTTTGTGGCCTCATGGGTGAGCAGAAGCCCCCGGCCTGAGGGAGAGTTTGGAATGACCACTGACGAGGAAGAGAAGGGCTAACTTCAACCTGGCATTTGGGTGGGGGCCGGGGCCCATGATGTAGACAACAAGGAGTCTCCTTTTTTTTTTTTTCTGGCTTTTTGGGTCATGCCCAGAAATGCACAGCGGTTCCTCCTGACTCATGCACTCAGAAATGCGGTGCTCGGGGGACCCTATGGGATGCTGGGAATTGAACCCGGGTCAGCTGCATGCAAGGCAAATGCCCTTCCCGCTGTGCTGTCGCTCCAGCCCTGGATTTTCTAGTTTTTCGAGAGGTTCTGGGCCACAGCTGGTCTTGCTCGGGAGACCCTGGGTGGTGTCACCGCACCCACTGTCCTGATTCCGTTCCTGTTCTTTTCTGCTTTTCATGCCTGGGGAGCCCACGGGGGTTCCTGATAAATGGGGAGCTTGACCCCAATCATGCTGTGAGGCCTGAGCATCAGTGTGGGAGCAGAGGGTGCCTGGAGGTGCCCCCCACGACAATCAGGAGTTGAGGGTTTCCTGGTTTGGTCCCTGGGCAGAAGTGGGGGCCTCGACCTAGCTCTGACTCCTTTTCCCTTTCCTAGTTCAGCTTTTACACAAACTCAGTGTTCGAGCAGCTGACGGCCCCCAGAAGCTCTTAAAGGTGAGCCGCTGACCCCCACAGGCTAGAGGAGGGGGCTGAGAGGTTCCCTCCCCGCCCCCGACACCCCCTCCTGCTTTTCCTGGTTTTTTTTGGCTTTTTCGGTCACACCCAGCGATGCTCAGGGGTTCCTTCTGGCTCTGCACTCAGGAATCACTCCTGGTGGTGCTCAGGGGGACCCTATGGGATGCTGGGAATCGAACCCGGGTCGGCCGCGTGCCAGGCAAACGCCTTTCCCACTGTGCTATCACTCCGGCCGCCCTGTGTCCCTGTCTAGGTCATCAAGAACCCCGTGTCCGACCACTTCCCCGTGGGCTGTATGAAGATCGGCACCTCCTTCTCCGTCCCGACCGTCAGTGACGTGCGGGAGCTGGTGCCCAGCAGCGACCCCATTGTTTTTGTGGTGGGCGCCTTTGCCCACGGCCAGGTAAGGTCTGAGCACGGCGGGAGGCGGGTTCTTCGTGGAGCCCAGAGCTGTGGGCGCCCTGGCAGTCCTTGTCCTTGTGTGGGGAGCGAAAGGGCAGGGACCAAGGCTGGGGGTGTGTCTGCCCTGCCAGCACCTCGGGGACGCACGCCCAGCCCCCCGGTGGCTCTTCGGGGCTGACGGAACGTTCCTTCTGCAGGTCAAGGTGGAGTATACGGAGAAGATGGTGTCCATCAGCAACTACCCGCTGTCCGCTGCCCTCACCTGCGCAAAAGTCACCACCGCCTTTGAAGAAGTCTGGGGGGTCGTCTGAGAGCCGGACTGGGGGGCTGGGCGGCGCAGACCCTGGACTGATGCTCCTTGGCACGGAGGCGGGGGCTGGGGTCGCCGAGACTGTACATTTGCTGTGTTTCTTTGTATAAATGCTTATTCTTACAAACCCGCTTGTCCCGGAGACTCCCAGGCGCCGGAACTTCCTGCATTGCTTGTTAGTTGTTTGGCAGAACCCAGACGGGCTCAGCGGGACCCTGTCCCAGTGCTGGGGATCGAACTGGGCCAGCCAGGTGCGAGGCAAACGTCAAGACCCTTGTACTATATCTGGTACCCAGGTTGGGGTTTGGTTTTTTTTTTTTTTTTTGCTTTTTGCTTTTTTTGGTCACACCCAGCGATGCTCAGGGGTTCCTCCTGGCTCTGCACTCGGGAATTACTCCTGGCGGTGCTCGGGGGACCCTATGGGATGCTGGGAATCGAACCTGGGTCGGCCGCGTGCAAGGCAGACGCCCTCCTGGCTGTGCTGTTGCCAAGACCCTTGTACTATCTCTGGTACCCAGCCTGGTTTTTCTTTTTTTCTTTTTTTTTTTTTTTGCTTTTTGGGTCACCATCAATGCTCAGGGGTTCCTCCTGGTTCTGCATTCAGGAATTACTCCTGGCGGTGCTCGGGGGACCCTATGGGATGCTGGGAATCGAACTGGGGTCGGCCATGTGCAAGGCAGACGCCCTCCTGGCTGTGCTGTTGCTCCAGCCCCGAGGTTCTTGAGTCTTCAGGGAGTGATGGGGGTGGTGGAGGGGGATGCGGATCTGATTGCTTCTAGGCCTGGCGGGTGGGCTGGGCACACCCACCCCATGGAGCCCTCTGCTTCTCCCCCACCCTCCACCCCTCCAGTAGAGAGCAGCCGGGAGGCGCCAGGAGTGAAAAAACCGAACAAACAGAAGTGATTTTTATCCGGTACAGTTCCAAGGTAGAAAAAGTGGAGCAGGCGGGGCCGCAAAACCCTCCCCGCCCCCCCATAGGGGGGGTGGTGTGGCAGCCTCTGCGGCACATACAATCATAGTGAATTGGCAGAAGAGAAACACAACAGATTCCTGGCTGGAGGGGAAAGAGATAAGGCAACGTGCATGGGGGGAGCCGAGGGGGGCCGGGACCCTCCGCTCCTCCCACCGGAGTGGCCCCGGGTGGAGTCGAGGCTGGCAGTCATGTGCGTGGGGCGCCGTCTCCCTCTCCGGGTCTTGGTGCGGGAGTGCTGGGAGGGGGAGACGGTCACTTCTGCACCGGTCCTGCTCCTGCTCGAGGCCACCTGTGCGTTGAGGGGACACCGCCTGCCGTCAGTCACCCTCTGCTGAGGGGCGCCCCTCCCCCCACCTCACCGCGTCAGGTCACCGTGCGACTCATCCCAGATTTCCCTCCCACCCCTGGCAGTGCTCAGATGTCCCCAGGGGGACCCGCTTCCCGCAGGGCAAGTGCCCGAACCCCCGGCAACTCTCTCTCCGGCTGCCCCCAACCCCCGGCTCCAGCCTTCCTCCTCCTCCTCCTCCTCGCTTACCAGGGAGACCGATTACTTCGCTTTCTTTAACTTCTCTTTCCTTGGCACCATGACTTTGTGGACGTAAGGCAAGATGAAGAGGAGGCTCAGGAAGAAGACGTGGCCCAGGAAGTAGATGGACTTGTACACCTGCGGAGAGAGCCGGGCGGCTAAGGAGGGAGCACCGAGGGTGGGGTGTGGGGGGGGGCCCTCCCCGTGGCGGCAGCCGCCCCTCGCCTCCCCCAGGGGCAGGCCGGGCCCTCACTTGCCTTGAACCATTTGTCCCAGGTGAAGAGGCAGAAGGCCGCCATGGAGTAGCCCATGAAGAGCCAGTGCAGGGTCTGCTGCACCAGGTAGTAGAAGGGCTGCAGGATGGTGATGGAGGCCAGGCTGCTGAGCAGCGGGCTGTCCCGGATCAGGGCGGCGACCTGCGGAGAGGCGGCAGGCAGGGGACGTCGCGGCCAGGTCCGCCCCCCCCCTTCCAAGTTCCCCCTCCAGGCCCCCTCGGGCCTTGCCTGTCTCTCCACAAGGACGATGAGGAATTCCATCTGGAAGCAGACCAGGTACCCTGAGTGGAGGCCGTGCCAGAGGGCCAGGAATAGCAGTGACAGACCCTGGGACAGCTCCTTGTTGCCCAGGAACTTGAGGCGTTTGAAGAAGTACCTGGGGGTGGGGGGAGGAGGAGGAGGAGGAGCCGCAGGATTAGTCTGGGCACCCCAGGGGGACAACTGGGACTCCTGAAGTGGGGTGGCCCAAGGGAGACGGGGAGATGAGACCGAGAGTAGCTTTATGTTTTGTTTTGTTTTTTTTTTTTTGGGGGGCCACACCTGGCGATGCTCAGGGGTTACTCCTGGCTCTGCACTCAGGAATTACCCCTGGCAGTGCTCAGGGGACCATATGGGATGCTGGGAATCGAACCCGGGTTGGCTGCATGCAAGGCAAATGCCCTCCCGCTGTGCTGTTGCTCCAGCCCCAGGAGCTTTATGTTTTGGGGGCCACGCCTGGCTGAGAGGGCTACTCCAGGCTCTGGGGTTCTGCGAGGACTGGGGACTCAGGGATGCTGGGAGCCGGTCAGGTGCCTTTGAGGCCAACACCTGGACCCCGGTACTAATATTGGCACCCCCGCCGGGTGCGTTAATGACCGAGTGCTGCCCCATGTCCGTTGCCACTGTCGCAGGGAGGTGAGGACAGGCCCCTGCTTGTGTGGGGACACGGAAGCGAAGGCCTATCTGAGTGTGAGGGGCAGGACAGAGCCAGGCTCGTGGCCTTCACCCTTCCTGGTCTCTGAATAGGGCCGAAATGTTGGGGGGTTGGGGGGGGGGTTGTGCTGTCCAGTGGCCCGGCCTGCCGCTGCCGCTCACCGGGACACCCAGGCGTTGGTGTTGATGTTGAAGGAGGCGATGGTGCCCGTGAAGCGGGGGGTGGTCTCGAAGAGCCACACCTTCATGTTGGCACAGGCGTCCCACTTGGCCTCTCCGTTCTCGTCGAAGCCGTTGAAGCCCAGTCCCGTGAGAATGCAGACGCCTTCCTGAGGACGGGGTGGCTCAGTGGGCCCGCCCTGTCACCCCGCCTCCCCGCCCTGGGGGTGCACCTGCCCCTCCCGTCCCGTCCCGTCCCGTCCTGCTCCCACCCCCCTCACCGTGACCAGCCAGCAGGTGACGTATTTGTACAGCACGAACTTGCCCCAGACCAGCAGGTACATGCAGCGGAACCAGAAGTCGCGTTTCTGGGGAAGCGATGACGCATGTGTTAGGCTCCCTGGTGACAAACTTGGGGCTCACTAGCACCCAGGCTGCCAGGTGGCCAGGCTCAAAGCCTTCCCCCCCCAGAGTGTGTCCTGCGAGCAGCCTGACCCAGAGGCCTTCTGCCTATCCAGCTCAGTGCTGACTCAAGGTGGGCATGAAGCCCGACACGGGGCAGGAGCAAAGGCTGCGGCCTCCCTGCCTCCTCAGAGGCCACCCCAAAGCCCTTTCCCGCCTCCAACAGGCTGGGGAAGACAGGAAGCTGCTGTGTGCCAAGGAGCCACACGGTGGCGCTGGAGTCAGGGCTGCTTCTGGGGAGGAAGTCGGGGTGCCCCTGACACCCAGTGCAGAACCAACCCAGCCCGTTCCTGGCCTGTTCCTGGCCTGGCTGAGACCTAGGCTAGCTCCAGGGGTCCTCAGCGGCCACCCCCCTCTCCCCGGGCCTGGCGCCGGGGCCACTCACATCATAGTCGTCTGTGAGGAGATACTCTTCTGAGATGTGGGGGCTGAGCGTGGTGTAGCCCACCAGGTAGACGAGGCCCAGACTCAGGCGCTTGAGAGCGGGGATGGTGCTAGGAAGGAAAGGTAAGGTCACCGGGATGGTGGGAGGGACAGACCCCCGCTCCCTGCCCGCCCCCCCCCCCCCAGGCTCTCAGGGATGCCGCCTGCACTGTAGGTCCCTAGGGAGGGTGGTGATGACCCAGGGGTTCTGTGTCCTCTGATGCTGGGCGAGTCAATGCCAGCAAAGGGTCCTTCCAATACCTGAAATGGTTTTCTGTGATAAATGTATGTTCAAATACATGTTTATATATACGTGGCATTAAAGGGTTTTGCTTGGGGGCCCCACCTGGCTCTGCTCAGGGATCACTCCTGGTGTTGCTTGGGAACCCTAGGGGGTTGTTGGGGATCAAGCCTGGGTGGGCTATGTGTAAGGTGTACCTGCTGTACTGCCTCTATGGCCGGGATGTGTTTTTTAATTTTTTTAATTTTATTTATTTTTTGCTTTTTGAGTCACACCCGGCGATGCACAGGGGTTCCTCCTGGCTCATGCACTCAGGAATCACTCCTGGTGGTGTTTGGGGGACTGTATTGGATGCCAGGGATGGAACCAAGGTCAGTCATGCAAGGCAAACGCCCTCCCCGCTATGCTATCGCTCCAGTGCACCCCCCACCCCAATGTGTGTTTATTTATTGTGAAATAAAAAAAGTCACTAAAAGCTTGAATCTGATTGCCTTGAGCCAAATTCTGCAGCACAGACCTAAACTGTTCTGTTCGGGGGTCCCTTCAGGATGGGCAACCAGAAGCCAGGGACAGTCCAGGGGGTGTGGGCCCAGCCTGATGAGAGACCGCAGGTACGAGGCTGGGGGGGAGGGGCGACACCAACACAGGGGTCTCGAGCAAGAAGGGACGGTTACCTGCTGGGTAAGCTCCCCGGCTTGTCTGTCAGCTGTCCCTGCACCAGCTTCATGTAGTGGTTCATGGAGAACTGGGGTCCCACCAGGAAGGCCCCATAGAAGTAGGAAAAGCCAGCCACTTCCAGCAGCGACGGGACACCCCTGATGGCAAACTGCTGTTGCTCGGGGGACAGGGTAGCCTTGGCGGGAAAGAGAATGGGGGAGGGGAGTTTCAAGAGAGCAGGGGCGCCCCTCCCCCACGCACCCACCGAACCCCGGGGGTTCCTCCAAGAGCCAGCCCTGGGGCGGGCGGCAGGGGGCGGTGCTGGGCGTTTGGCTGCCAGCTTCACAGATGCCCGGCTGGCACCACTCTCTGGACTTTGTGCGTGAGCTGGAGCCCGGGCAGAGGGACCTGCTGAGCCTTGGTCGGGGCTACCGGGATGTGGAGGCGTGGCTGCCGGAATTTGGGGGGGCAGGCTGGCATGAGTGGGTCACACGCGGGGACCGCAGGGGCTTTTCTTCCGCGATGGGGTGGGGGCATTCTTTTCCCTCTCCGCGGAGGCCTGGGTACTCACCTCCTCCTTCCCTCCATCATAGTAGTCGACAGCCAAACCTGGGGGCAGAGAGAAGGGGTGGGTGGTGGTGGGTGATGGCGAGGGGAGGCCTGTGGAGGGCGTGGGGTGGGGGGAAGCAAGCCTGTGTGTGTGGGGGGAAAGGGATGGCTGGAGTGTGCATACGTGTGTGTGTGTGTGTGTGTGTGTGTGTGTGTGTGCATGCCTGTGTGTGTGTGCATGCCTGTGTATGCGCATGCCTGTGTGTGTGAGAGAGCGAGCGAGCTGTGAAAAGGTAGCAGTGAGCGCCCCTCCCCACTCACCAATCAGCTTCAAGGTCAGCACACAGTGGGGCATCGTCCACTTGATATCGTAGTTGCCCGTGGCTGTGTAATAATATCCGGCAAGAAGGTAGGCCTGGGAGAAGGGGAGTACCTCGCTGGATTGCCCAGTCTCTTAATTTTTTTTTTTTCCTCTTTGGGTCACACCCAGCGATGCACAGGGGTTCCTCCTGGCTCATGCACTCAGGAATGACCCCTGGCGGTGCTTGGGGGACCCTATGGGATGCTGGGAATCGAACCCGGGTCGGCTGCGTGCAAGACAAATGCCCTACCTGCTGGACTATCAATCCTCAATTCGCCCTCCCTCCCTGGCGTATGTCCCCCTGAGCACAGAGCCAGGAGCAGCCCCTGTGTGGCCCCAGTTACCTGTCCTTACCCCCCAAAAAGGGAGAGAAAATATATTTTCAAAAGTGCTTATAAATTGAAAACCTGAAGTTATTTTACTTATTTTTCCTTTTTTTTTCGGGGGGTGGGTTGGGTAGGTGGGGTTAGGCTATACCCCACTGTGTTCAGGGCTTATTCTTGACTCTGCTCAGGGTCAATCCTTGTGGTGCTCAGGGCACCCTATGGGGTGCAGGAGATCGAACCTGGGTCAGCTATGTGCAAGGCAGGTGCTCATCTGCCATGCTCTCTTCAAATTTTTTTATTTTTTGGTGTTTTGGGTCACACCCGGCAATGCTCAGGGGTCCTAGTTTTGCACTCAGGAATCACTCCTGGCAGTGCTCGGGGGACCTTGTGGTATGCTGGGAATCGAACCTGGGTCGGCCGCGTGCAAGGCAAATGCCCTACCCGCTGTGCTACCACTCCAGCCCCACATTTTTTTTTTTTTTTTGGTTTTTGGGTCACACCCAGCAATGCTTAGGGGTCCTAGTTTTGCACTCAGGAATCACTCCTGGCAGTGCTTGGGGGACCCTGTGGTATGCTGGGAATCGAACCCGGGTCGGCTACATGCAAGGCAAACACCCTCCCCGCTGTGCTCTCTTTGACCCAAGAAACTCAACCGGTACCCGAGAAGCGGCTTGCTCAGGGTTTCTCCCCACCAGATGAGATGAGCTCATTCCGTGCTGCCTTCTGCCCTGCCTTTAAGTGACGTCCCCGCCTCCCCCCACCCCCCGCCTCCCATGGAAAGCAGGGCGAAGCCTGGTCAGAACCAAGGGACCTTTGTGACCTGGCCCTGGCAGAGGGTGAGTTGGTCGCCCTTCCCGAGGCCACGCCAGCCGCTGCAGGGCTGTCAGAGGGCGTGTGGGGTCAAAGGGTCCGACACTGGGTCTCTGCCCCCTGGCTTCCTGCCACCTTCCCAATGATGCCCGGCTGTGCCGGGAGGAGGGTCAGGGGTGGGGGCGGGGCAGACGGTACCATTTGGAAGCAGAAGGTGGTGAGGACAGCCGTGATGGTGCGGCCCATGAGGCGGAGGATGAAGAACTGTAGCACGATGCATAGCAGGGAGTGGTAGAGCTGGTTTCCTGTGGGCAGAGCGGAGCCCCCGTGAGCATGAACCCGGGCAGCCCCACCCTTCCCGAAACTGGCAACTAACAAGGAATAGCGCAAGAAAAAAGAATTGTGGGCCTCGGGGCTGGTTTTTTTTTTCTCCCCCCCCCCCCCCTTTTTTTCCTCCTTCAAAATAGTTTCATGTTTTGGAGGAAGGAGAGGAAATTCATTGTACAGAGCAAACAATTTCCGAAATGCCCGAGGTCGGGGGGGGGAGGGAATGGGGAGTACGTGGATCCGTGGGTCAGAGAGAAGCGGGTTCTTCTCTGGGGATGGGGGTCTGGTTGGGGAAACTACTCGCAACGGGCTCTCGGTTTTGGGGTTCTCCTTGCAGTACTCAGAAGGCCTGAAGGGGGAGACGGCAGCATTCAATCTGCTTGTTCAATATTTGGGCCCATTATAGCTACACCCAGAGGTACTTGGGGGCCTCCAGGGCTGGACCTGAAGATGCTTGAACCAGAGTCCCCATCATACCAACATGTGTCCTGGTGATTCCCTCCTCCTCCGTACCCCCCATGTGGGAAATAAAAACTAGTCAAGGTACATTCAGGTACATTCACTTCTCCATCTTTCTTTCCTTTCTTTCTTTCTTTCTTTCTTTCTTTCTTTCTTTCTTTCTTTCTTTCTCTCCCTTCCTTCCTTCCTTCCTTCCTTCCTTCCTTCCTTCCTTCCTTCCTTCCTTCCTTCCTTCCGTCCCACCCAGCAATGCACAGGAGTTACTCCTGGCTTTGCACTCAGGAATTACTCCTGGTGGTGCTCAGGGGACCATATGGGATGCCGGGAATCGAACCCCGGTCTGCCACGTGCAAGGCAAACGCCCTACCCACTATGCTAACGCTCCAGCCTCCGTATCCCTCCTTCCCAAGGGGACTCTGGGGAACTCCTTTCCAGTTCCTTCTACACGTAACCAACTCACCAAAGTTAAAATACGCGATTGAGAGGCCTGAAAAGGTGTGGTAGAGATGGATGAGGTAGCTGTCCTTGTAGAAAAGGAAACGCCGGTAAAACAAAGCTAAGGGGTAACCTAGAGGGGGAAGAGAGAGCAGAAGAGGGTTAACTGGTATTTGGTACATCCCCAGGCTGTTCTGGAACAATCTGACCTGAAACTTAGCCCAGAGGGGTAAAAGTAAAGTAAAGTAAAGGCCCTCCCATTGATCATCGATTTGCTCGAGCGGGCCCAGTAACGTCCCCATTGGAGACTTTGTTGTTACTGTGTCTGGCGTATCGAATACGTCACGGGTAGCTTGCCAGGCTCTGCCGTGCGGGCGAGATACTCTCGGTAGCTTGCCGGGCTCTACGAGAGGGGCGGAGGAACCGAACTCAGGTCGGCCATGTTGGCTGCGTGCAAGGCAAACGCCCTGCCGCTGTGCTATCGCTCCATTTCTATGGATGTCAGAGCAGAGAATATCACTGCGTTTCCAGGAATCTGTGAATACAAATCTCAAAAGTGAAGATGTTAATTTTATTACTAATTTTGTTTTTGGAAGGGGGCACAAAACCCAGTGGTGTTCAGGGCTTCCTCCTGGCTTTGCACTCAAGAATTACTCCTGGTGGGCACTGGTAGAGGGATGGGTACTGGATCATTGTATAACTGAAACCCAAGCACAAAAATTTGTTTTTATTTATTTTTTGTTTTTTGGGTCACACCTGGCGATGCACAGGGGTTACTCCTGGCTCTGTACTCAGGAATTACTCCTGGCAGTGCTCGGGGGACCATATGGGATGCCGGGGATTGAACCCAGGTCGTCCACGTGCAAGGCAAACGCCCTACCTGCTGTGCTATCGCTCCGGCCCCAACCCACTGCATTTAGTAGACTGGAAAAACATCATTCAGTTGATTGGAAAAACATCTTTTTTTTTTTTCCTTTTTCTTTTTGGGTGACATCCGGCGATCCACAGGAGTTACTCCTAGCTCTGCACTCAGGAATTTCTACTGGCGGTGCTCGGGGGGACCATATGGGATGCTGGGGATTGAACTCAGGTCGGCTGGCTGCGTGCAAGGCAAATGCCCTACCCAAGGCTAACGCCCTACCCGCTGTACTATCACTCCGCCCAAGAACATCTTCTTTATGTTTTGGGTCACACCCAGCATTGTTCAATTAATTCCTGCCTCTGCCCCAAGGATTTACTCCTGGTGGTGGTGGTGGGGGGGGGTCAGGGGACCATATGGGATGCTGGGGCTCATGAACTCAGGTTGGCTGCTGTAAGGCACACGCCCTATCCACCGTACTACTGCTCTGGCAAAAAGTTGGAGGGATACTGGGATCAGTGGTGGTGGGGAACAGGCGCTGATGGAGGGATGGGTACTCGATCATTGTATAACTGAAACCCAGGCATATAAATTTGTAAGTTTACAACTGTACCTCATGGTGTTTCAATGATAAAAATTTATTTATTTTTTTCACTGATAAAAATTAAAAAAAATTTTTTTTCTCTGTCCTTGGGCCATGCCCTGAAGTGCTCAGAGCTTACTCCCGGCTCTGTGCTCAGGGATCACTCCTGGTGGGGCTTGGGGAACCCAACGGGGTGCCAAGGACTGGCTGTGGGCAAGGCAAGTGCCCCTGGAAAAAGCATCGTTGAAAGTCTTAGTCCAGGGCTGGAGCATCCCCGCCAGGAGTGATTCATGAGCACAGAGCCAGAAGTCAGGCCTGAGCACTGCTGTGCTCCCCCCAAAAAATCAAAAGCATTCTATATCTTTACACTGAAAGTCTCACATGCAGTGCATGTTCCACAAGTTTTTGAATTTTTGGGGGGTCACACCCAGTCATGCTCAGGGCTGACTCCTGGCTCTGTGCCCAGAGATCACTCCTGGCGAGCTTGGGGGACCATATGGGGTGCCAGAGATTGTACCCTAGTTGGCTGTTCAAGGCAAGTGCCCTCCCCATTGTGCTATCGCTCTGGCCAGTCACACCCGGCGATGCACAGGGGTTACTCCTGGCTCTGCACTCAGGAATTACTCCTGGCAGTGCTTGGGGGACCCTATGGGATGCTGGGAATCGAACCTGGGTCGGCCACATGCAAGGCAAACACCCTACCCACTGTGCTCCAGCCCTGGTGCTAGAATTTTACTGGTGGCCTTTGTTGTGCTCCTTATCAAGTGTCCAGCTTCGTGCCAAGCGTTTGTTTTTGAGCGAACATGGTAGATCACTCATTCGACAAGACTCTCTGCCAAGCATTTAGGGAGCATCTGTGGAAGGAGGTGGCAAGTGGTGGTTTCTTTCCTGGCTGGCTGAGATGCAGTGATCTAGGATTACAAGCTCAAGGAGGGGGAAAAGACATCTGTGACACAGTCACATGAATGAGCAAAGAAGCCGGATCGAGTCTCATACATATCACATGGGCAGGAATTTGGCAGGTCTTGCCGACAGCAGTAAGTACTGCTAAGAAGCAGTGCCTGGTCCTAGAAAGCATTGAGCAAGATCCCACTTCAACCTTTCTTCATCCTTTCTTTTTCTTGGGGGGTGGGGTGGGGTGGGAGAGGGTTCTCCCAAGTGGTGCTTGGGGACCCCAGGTACCGTGCCAGCCACCCAGGCCAGTGGTTTGATGGGGTCCCTGAGGACTTGGTGCTGTAAAGGAAACACCCTACCAGCTTAGCGCTCTGGCAAAACAACGTTCCTTTTTGTTTGCAGTGCTGAAGATAGCCCGGGCCACCCTGGCAGTGTTCAGGGGCCCCCGGGGCTTCAGCTGGCGACGCTCAAGGGGACAGAGTGGTGCCAGGTTGCCAGGTCCAAGCCCTGTGTGCACCCCCAACCCTGAGACTGTCCACCCAGGGCGTCCGGCCTCAATCCTGTACTTTCATTTTCACAGTTCCGGGAAGAGAGGGAACAGAAACCACCAAATGGAGCCAGAAGATGCATAAACAAGTTCTGGACTGCCGAAGTGTTTACCCTTTTAAGCATCCAGACCCTAAATCCAAGCCATTTAAAAAAAAAATTTTTTTTTTTTGAGCCACAAAGAGACACTCCCAGAGGTGTTCAGGGGCTGTCCTGGCGCAGTGCTCCAGGGTGACCTCTTGTCAAGGTAATGGCGTGAAGCTGGGGACAGAACTGGGGTCAGATGTACGCAAAGAAAGCACCTCAGGGGGGCTGGAGCGATAGCACAGCGGGTATGGCATTTGCCTTGCATGCAGTGGACCCGGGTTCGATTCCCGGCATCCCATAGGGTCCCCTGAGCACCGCAGGAGTGGTTCCTGAGTGCAGAGCCAGGAGGAACCCGAGCATCACTGGGTAGGAACCAAAAAGCCAAGAAAAAACCCCAAAAAACTCCTAGCCCCCGCCCCCGCCCCAAACCCTGAACTATTTGCAATGCTCAAAATTAAAAAAAAAATATTAGGCTGCCTTTGTAGACTGAATATAATTTAACCCCCCCCCCTTAAAAAATTTTTATTAGTGAGACACCATGAGGTACAGTTGTAGACTTACAAACTTTTGTGCTTGGGTTTCAGTTATATAGTGATCGAGTACCCATCCCTCCACCAGTGCCCATTCTCCACCATCACTGATCCCAGTACCCCTCCTACCCTCCATCCCCCCATCCCACCCTGCCTCTGTGGCAGGGCATTCCCTTTTGTTCTCTCTCTCCTATCTTGATAATTATCGGAGAGCAGTCTTCCCCCAGAAGGGTGGAACTGCTTGTATGCTAAAAGAAGGTGGATCTTCTAGGGGTGCTGGGTGATTTATTTATTTTCTCCAGAAAAGGGGCCAACAGGCCCTCTCCTGGGAACCATTGCTGCAGAATTATGCCATCAGGGTCCTCCCCTGCTCCAGCCTGTGAAGCTCCGCTCTGACCCAGAGGGCTGGACACTCTCTGGCCTTCGGAGTCCCGGGAGCCATTTCCGGTAGCTTTTTCTGGGCCCTTCCTGGCCCTGCAGGGATCAACTTAAGCTTGCAGTGTTTGGATCAAGAACATTTGCTTTCCCTATCACTATCACTATCACTATCCTCCCGTTGTTCACCGATTTGCTCGAGCGGGCCCAGTAACGTCTCCATTGTGAGACTTGTTGTTACTGTGTTTGGCATATCGAATATGCCACCGGGGAGCTTGCCAGGCTCTGCCGTGCGGGCGAGATACTCTCGGTAGCTTGCCGGGCTCTCCGAGAGGGGCGGAGGGCTCCTAATATATCGGAGGACTCAAAAAAAAAATCCTAATTTCATTTTAAATATCGGAAGGAAGGGAAGAAGGAGGAAGGGGTGGAGGAAGTAGCAGGCAAGGAAGGAAGGAAATAGGGAGGGAGGGAGGGAGGAACGAGCTGAGTGCATGATCTCAAACTTTTTTTTTTTTTTGCTTTTTTTGGGTCACACTCCTGGCTCATGCACTCAGGAATCACTCCTGGCGGGCTCAGGGGACCATGTGGGATGCTGGGAATCGAACCCGGGTCCACTGCACGCAAGGCAAACGCGTGCCCGCCTGGCAAGCTCCCCGGTGGCATATTCGATATGCCAAACACAGTAACAACAAGTCTCACAATGGAGACGTTACTGGGCCCGCTCGAGCAAATCGATGAACCACGGGAGGATAGTGATAGCCATAGCTCCAACCCCCTTTTTCCCTCCAACCCTCCTTCTTATCCCCACTCCTGTTCTCAGGTGGAGCTGGTGGGGAACAGTGAGCTCCGGGCCGGGCCGTGGCAGAGAGCCGGTGAGGCTGCACAAAGCCACAGGCCGAGCAGCTGGAGCGGTCGGGAGAAATAAAAGAACGGGGCCCGGTCAGGTTACCAAGAACACCCAGATCCCAACACAGCGGCGGAGTTTGGACCGGAAGGAGGGACGGGGCTGCGCGTTGCTGTGACAACCCAGAACCCCTCGGAGTGTGTCAACAGAGAGCCTTGTGCTTGGCACAGGTCTCAGTTTGAGCCGGGCTGGCCGGACACCCCTTCAAGGACAGGCTGTTTGCAGGGAGGCCGAGACCCTACAGGCTGCGCCCGGGCCTGATGCACTGGCTGCTCGAGGCCATATGCGGGCACCCGAGGGAGCTTCGAACCCATGATGCTCGGGGTTGGAGAGATAATAGGGTGATGCTCAGGGG